CACCAAGTACTGTTAGGTTTTAATCCGTCAGAGATTAAGATTCAAAGCATCTCACCTTTGCCAATTCGTGGATCTCAGACTCAGGTTCTGGAACTGAAAGGGTCCAGCCCTGCCTGTGATCTGATTGACTCATACCGAAAAGAGCTTACCGAGTATGCCCGTGATATCTGTAAAGAAGCCAATGAAACCCCTTTGCCCCCACTAAGAGCCATAAACCATGTAATACCTTTGATAAACGATGACCAGGTCTATGCATGGCGACAGTCCAAGTGTCCCAATGCAATGCGCCCGCTATGGAGGACGAAACGGGATGACTACATCAGAACTGGTCGGTGGGAGTTTTTCAGCAGGAGTAATGCGGTCCCTATGATTATGATGAAGAAAGTTACTAAGGATGGCTCACTAGGACTACGCACTGTCCTAGACACTAGGCAGAGAAACAAGAACACCCGGAAACTAGCTTCACCTCTCCCAGACATTGACACAATCCTCCAGAATGTCTCCTCCCACCCATACCGATCTTTGCTTGACAGTAAGGATGCCTACGAACAAATTAGGGTGGTCCCTGAAGATGTCTACAAAACACTCTTTGCGACCCCTGATGGTACCATGATCAGTCATGTCATGCAAATAGGGGACTGTAATGCGGGCGCGACGTACCAATCGCTGATGAACCATATCTTTGGTCCGTACATTGGCACCTTCATGGACGTATACCTCGACGATATCGTTATTTACTCGGACAGCGCCGAGGAGCATGTTAAGCATGTTAAAATTGTGATCGACACACTTAGAAAACATCAGTTTTACCTTGGTGTCCACAAGCTCTAGTTCTTTAAGAGCGAACTGTGTATTCTTGGTCACATCATAGATGACAGTGGGATCCGACTGGACCCCCATAAGGTGGACAAGGTGGTAAGCTGGAAGATGCCTACATCCAAAGAGCTGCTCATGCAGTTCATTGGATCAGTGGGGTACCTTGCATCAGGATGTGAGGGCATGCACGTCGACATGCAGCATCTGTCGAAAGTAGCCGCCCAAACTACCAGATGGTCTTGGTCGCCTACTGACCAGCAGGCATTTGACTTAGTGAAGGCCTGTGTTGAGACTCACAGAAACGTTAGTCGAAAGGCTATTGATCTGCCCCTGGCAATCAACGGCACTCACCCAGTGAATCTCACCACCGACGCTTCCCTGACGGGAGCTAGCGGTGTTCTTTCTCAAGGAACCGATCGCCAGTCTGCCGTCGTAATCGCCTTCTGGTCCAGGAAATTCAATTTGGCCCAACAAAACTACCCTGTTCATGAACAGGAGCTATTAGCTATAGTGGAATCTCTGAAGCGATTCAGACACTTACTAATTGGGTTCCGATTCCGCATATTCACCGATCATAAGGGCCTGGAGTGGATCTCCTCCCAGACTAAACTGTCCCCAAGACAAGTAAGATGGCTCGAGGCCCTTAGCGAATTTGATTTTGAAATAGTCTACGTACCTGGAGCGGAAAACACACTCACGGATGTATAGCAATGAGCCTAAGGGAACCGTTAGAGCCACTAGCGAATATGTCAGTGCTGAAGATGACAACTCACCAAACAGCCTCCTGCTTAACTTCGTAACCGCCCCACTGTACACTGGTACTCCGCTGTTCCTGGGCGCCACAGAAGCCCGACGCTCTGCCCGGATTGCGACTTGGCACGTGATTGGCAAAGAACCGTCTGAATCGTCTCCCATACCTGTGGACAAGGCCAAACCCAAAAGACGCAATACCCCTGTGTTGATCCCTGAAGCAGCTCCTGGGGACGCTGGAGTGGACGTACCACCACCCACGTGTGGTCAGTGTGATATGGAAAGAGCACCACTCACCAGAGCAATGCCAGTGACTGCAGGTGCAGAACCACCTGCAGCACTGCCCAAGGTCAAGCGTGTCATCCTGAAATTAGGAAAGCCGTTAGCTTCCCTGGAGGGCAGGAATAGTGAGAAAGCAAAGAACTCACCGAAACCCCCCAACCTAACACCTACTAAACCTGCACCAGACATAGCAGAGAAGAATGATGCGCTGATTGAAGACACAGAATCAGCGCAAAGCCACAGAGCTGAGAAGAGCGATGCACTGATCGAAGGCACGGAATCAATGCAAAGTCTCGCGACAAACACGGACCCACAAAGTCATGTGACGCTAGAAACAAACAACTCCTCATCAAAGACGCAGTCACTACAAGACGAAGTGGCCAATGACTTACTAGAGACACCACCCCACCTTACTGAAATCATCTCACTGGGAGAACCTTCAGTAGACATCCATGAGCGCCTAGTGAACCGGTATAACGAAGATGCCTTCTTCAAAAAGATCCTAGAGAACCCAGGCACCTATAAGAACTTTGAGGTCAGTAATGGGCGCATATACCTTAAAGACTCACACAAGTGAAGTCTATGCATCCCCGACGTTAAGATTGGTGAACGACACGTCCGGGAAATCATGATATCCCACGCCCACTCAATTCTAGCTCACCTAGGACCATCTAAAATGTTACTGTACCTGAGAGAGAATGTATGGTGGAAGTCAATGGCTGCCGACGTACAAGCTTTCTGCAAGTCCTGCCCTACCTGCCAGGTGTCCAAGCCCCCTAACCATCAACCTTATGGCCGGCTTGAAACACTAGACGTCCCCACCAGACCCTGGGAGACGATAGGTATATATTTTGTGGGCCCGCTCTCTGAATCGAAGACCCTCCACGGGGTGTTTGACATGATCCTTGTCGTGATCGACCACCTGACATCCATGGTGCACCTCGTGGCAACCAAACAGACCTACCATGCCAAAGATATTGCTGAGGTCATGTTTAACCTGGTCTACAAACACCACGGTATGCCGTCCAACATAGTTAGCGATTGTGACACCCTGTTCACGAGCATTTTCTGGCAGCACTTTAACAAGCTCACCGGAGTCAAATTACGGATGTCAACATCCTTCCACCCCCAGACTGATGGAGCCACTGAAAGAGCGAATTGAACCCTTACTCAAATGCTCCGCTCCCTAGTCGCCCCATACCAACGGGACTGGGCAATTAAGTTGCCTGTAATCAAATTTGCTATCAACTTAGCATGTTCTAGCTCCACCGGATACTCCCCGTTCCTGCTCAATAATGGACTCCTGCCCCCCCCGCTTATTTGGAACACCAACTCGGAGTATCTTGGGGTAAGAGTGTAGCTACAGTCAATGAAGGACGCTACTATGGCCGCTCATGACGCGATCATCACCGCATGGGTAAAGAGCACCACCCTGGCCAATAGTAAGCGTAAGGAGGCCCCATTTGTTGAAGGCGACCTCACTTACCTTTCCACTGCTAACCTATCCATACCCAAGGGAAGGGCTCATAAGCTGGCTCCCCGATTCATTGGCCCATTCAGAATTCTGAAGGACTACAAGAACAATTCATACCTGCTGGACCTTCCCTCGGAACTTAAGCAGCGTGGTCTGCACCCAGCGTTCCACGCCAGTCTCTTGCACCAGCACGTCCCTAATGATGACAGGCATTTCCCTGGGCGCCAACTGAAGCAGATCTCGGATATTGGTATATCCGAGGACTGGTCAGTCTCCCGCATCTCTGACCATCATGGTCAAGGGACTGACACTCTCTTTAAGGTAGAATATACCACTGGTGACCATGTCTGGCTGCCCTATCATGCCGTCTCTCGCCTTGAGGCAGTCGGGCAGTACCTGGAGTCACTAGGTGTCCCAGGTATCCAACACTTACCTAAGAAGGTCTCCCCGTCGCCCTCCAATATTGTGTTCGCAATGGTTGACACCTTCAGTGAGGCGAGTAATTTAGTAAATTTGGTGGTCAACTCACTGCTCGAAAATTTAGCCGATATCAGCTCTAATCCCGGTGCCCCTTACCTTAAAGACCTTGGAGGACGCTGTGAAAGAGAAATAGTGACTAGGCTGGTTAGAAACTAGCGCTACTTATCCAAATAGGCGCGAGTGTAGTATTCCAAATAGGCGCGAGTGTAGTATCAAATAGGCGCGAGTGTAGTATTCGACCCCAAGAGGACTGCTATTGAAGCAACTCCCTTCAAATATGCAAGGGTAGCGATGATGCGAAGGGCTAATAACCTATAGCGACCTATGACCAAAAACCCAATGAGTAGCGTTGTAGCGATCAGCAACTAGCAACAAGTGAGTTCCGACAGAGAAACGTGCGTATAAGTGAGGAGCACTATGCAAGTTGTCCTATGCGATAGCGCTATGTGACGTCCAACTAGCACCAATGAGAAGAAATCAAAAGAAGGGAAAGCGAGGAATAAGGTATGATAGTGCAAGTGGAATGCCCGATAGCGACTAGATTATAGCTCGACTACCAACAGCGATCCCGACGTTGCGAAAATCAAACTTTATGAGGAAACTTTAGCGACGCGCACTCAAAGCAAGTCAAGCGACACGCAATCAGAGATTTTGGCAAGAGCGGAATCGATTGCACCGAAACTAGGATATAGCGACTAAAGTGACTCTGACACCAGCAAAGGTCCAGGGAAGGGAAGTACTGTACTGTACGCAGGACGGGTCATTTTATCATACTGCATAGGGGTTCGGGATGCGTAGGCGAGTATAGTAGCGACACTGGCGAGGGCATGATGTAGCGACAGGTAATAGAACATGCAGCGCTGCGGAGCATGAGGACACATGTAATAAGACCTGCGACTGATGAGTAGCGACATTTAAGGAAATATAACGCACCAGTGGAGGTAGGTGGACATAGGCAGGACATGGGAGGGCGGAACACCTAGACGTCGGACCGGGTAGCGTGCTATGGGAGAAAAGTGGTTCCAAAGCGGATAGCTTGGGAGCTGAATAGTGCTGGTGACTAGCGTCTTACTCTTTTCTTCTAGGCAAGTCAAAATATGCCTATGACATTCATACGCACCTAGCGCTGGTATGATTGTCACAACGCCCTCCTATAATCCATTCTCTCCCTGAGACCAGCTCCTCCCCATACCCTAGCATGTCATCCTCTCCCTTTGCCTCGCTCACTAACGACATGGTCATTGACACACCTGCCCCTGCCCACAACCTGGGGAACTCCCCATCCCTGTCAGACGTCAGGGATCGTCCTCTTGAGGGCGAAGCAATCGTCGCTGTGGAGGGCATGGAGGCAGAGGACGTCATCCCTCACTGTGCGAGTCTCAAAACTCCGACACTATGAGTGCATTCACCTGGTTCTTCCGTGCTGAGGCCAAAGCTAGTAAGCTGCACCAGACCCTTTCTGAGATCCATCGTTCTAAAACGACGGGACCCCTTTCCTTAGAGGAATTGGCCATCTGAAAGGAGGCCCACGCCTTTGATGAGTTACTATGCACCGAGCGTCGACTCCGGCACTCTCACTCTCATCCCTCGCGCTCCCACCACCTGTCTTTGGACAATCGTGGTCAGCAACGTCCCACAGACGACTCCCGTGGAAGGTACTCCAGGACCCCAGTCTGTGGACCTTCCCGGCCTGCATCTCATGTTGCCAACCATGTCACCCCCATCCCACAACAGCACCGGTGTGCAAACGCACCCTGCACCTCCCCGCACCATGGCTCAGGTCATTTCTGCTGCCTGCACTGACACTGCAGTCAGCACCCCCTTCACCTCTGCTCCTACTTCTCCTGACGCGGCTATTGACCACAGCTCAGATGTCGCCGAGCTGATCGCTGAGGCCAAGCAAATGGACCTCGAAGCTGAAGCTCGGTGTGCTGGGTTCTCGAGCACCGAGGAGATGTTTGGTAGAGTTCTTTTAGCATGCTCACTAATGATGAATGCACTAACCTTACTTGTACTACTAGCCGCCATGAACATCCAAACTGCCCAGGCTGCCCAGCCTTAAGCACCTCATCCACGCTACCAAGAGTTCAGGTCCCCTATCAGCCCATACTGTCATATTGATATATCCAAACTGGCTTATTAGCCAAAAACCCTGATACATCATTCAGTTTAGCTATCCACTGTAACACTATCTAGGTTGTGGTTTAAATACTGTACAGTAAGGAACACTAAAGAATATGAGAGAAGAAAAAAAATGACAAGATACTGTCTTGGTCAGATGACCGTAACGAAGGCTTTTACTAACGCTACATACGCCCTCCAGGTCCACAATAGGGGCACCTGTTAGTGGGGGAAGGATATATCCAAACTGGCTTATTAGCCAAAAACCCTGATACATCATTCAGTTTAGCTATCCACTGTAACACTATCTAGGTTGATGTATCCTTGGGTGGATCCCAGCAGTGGCTTCTGTATACATCATTCCCAGCATATTGTCGCATTTTTGGCCACCTACCCCCCCACAATATTCTCACACTTCATAGCTCCGCATTTTGGGCCACCTACTGTGGGAATTTCCCCACAACACCAAAAACATCGCCCATTTTGGGAATCTCCACAATATCAATTATTCCCACACCCTCCCCACCTTACTGCAGCTTCACCACTACACCACAATAGGTCCCCCCTTGTATCTAAGTAGTAGTTTGGTATATACATGTATAATATACTATAATAGACCGCTTTTTTGTTTATTTGTATGTCTCCTCCTCCTCCAGGGGCCATTTAAAATAGGTTAGGGTATAGAACACTTTCGCACTTTTGCCCCTTTAATAGAGAAGTGTTCTAGGATCCTCAGACCATGTTTAAGAATATATATGAAGAGATTCCAAGCCTTGTTTGACCCCCTGAAGCGCCCTACATCAATAGATATGGCATATATACAGAAAATACAAAATATGTTCTCATGTATTAATTTCTAGGTACAGAGCCTTTGAAACATGATTCCCAGCATCTATCCAACAGTATTAAAAATGTATCAGAAGCTCAGGACCATAGGATAAGACCCTGCTGTGTAGTACATCCCCCCTCTCCTGATGGTTTACCACCTGTTCATGGCAGGGTGATACTTAACCGTGTCTCATTATGCACAATACCTTTTGTAAGTTTGTTTCTGAGCTACAGACGTGAAGGTTCATGATGCTTAATGTCCTCAACAGCACATCCAGGCTAATGATACCAGGCACGATGCATCTGTGTTTCTAAAGATCGGGATCTCTCTTGTGATCTCTCAGAACATTGTAAATAGATCGAACATTGTAAATAGATCGAACATTGTAAATAGATCGAACATTGTAAATAGATCACTGTGTAAATTAAAAAATGCCATTCACGGCACCCCACTTTGAGAGGAATGTATCATGGAGATCCCGCCGCACAGCTGCCTGACGCTTTGCATATCCTCTGATACCTTCAACCTCTGCAAGCGCGAGCCCTGTGCGACGATCTGCTTGCGCATCCCACCATGCAGCATGCCACAAAAGGTATGCCGCGACACGCCTCATCTCCTCTCGAAGAAGTTGCACCTCCTCGACCCAACGCGTAGCTCGTGCACGAGACTTGCACCATTCAATTCTTAATGCTAGTAATAATTAGGTATCAGCAATTGCAAAATAATAAAAGAAAACATAACCTACATTCGTTGAGCACCATCTCCCCTTCAGGAGCATCACTAGCTATGCCGCGTGCCTTCCATATCCAGGACAATGTACGGTTGCCAGACGATTGGCCTGGCTTGCCTTGTGACATCCCACGGATGTCGTCATTCTCCAGTTTCGAGAACTCCTCCTTCCATGTAGTGCGAGACAGAGCAGGGGAGAGATGTTCGAGTGCAGACCATGCTCTGCGATATCTTGCAGCAGCGATGGACACATTTGACTCAACTTTGTCAATGATAGCTGACGCGCGTGTGTTAGCTCGCTGGCCACGAATATGGGCATCTTTAAATTTGTAGAGATGTGCGTGTAGGCACAGGTGACGTCGGAGCTCATCCAGCGCATCATATGCCTGGGCCCTGCGAAGCTCCCACTCATACTGGCACAGCGTGGCATCACATTGATGCACTGGGTCTGTTGCATCTCCGTAGATCTTGGAGGGAAGCCACAGTTCGATCTCGTGGGCCTTCTCTTCAGTGGAATGGGTCCTGCTTGTTGGCATATCCGATGCGCGAAGGCGAGCAACGACCGGCATGTACAAAAGTTAGACCTTGCTCCATTGTTCTATTTTGCGTCGTAAAATGTTGCTCCGTTCTTGAAGCTTCGTGCGCTGTAAGTCAGTTGGGTGCCCTCCCAGAAGCTCAATATCTCTTGCAAGCCGACACCTGCAAAATAGCCTCAGTATATAAACGAAACTTCAACAATTGAAAGACTTACTGCTGATCCTCGATCTCCATTCCAGAGGAGATTAACACGCTGCGCGAGACTTCCTCATGCAGTGAGTCATCCATACCATGCTCGAGGTTGTCAGCTTCTTGCTGAGAGAGACTGAGTCGTACAGCTGCTTGCGTTAGTGCTAGATGATAGTGAGTATTTCACATTCCTCCGACAATCTAGTAATGTACGTTTGCCTGTAAGTGCGAACAGATTCTCTTGCAACGAATCCAATTCCCATCGTTCCACCGCCAGCCTCCATTCCGCCACCTGTTTGGGTCTCTCGTGTTGGAGTGTGTTGTCGAAGTCTTCAAAATCGCGTACATGCTGGTCGCGTTCAGGAACAGCGGCTTTGAGCTTTCGTGATAGACTGACACCTAAATACGAGTCAGATGTAGTTAACAAAGACGTATTGAACGATACTTACCCATATTTGTGACCTTCTTCCAATTAAAATCACCGAAATGGTCGTCCAGAGTATTGCACCGTGATCCTGGACCCATCTCGCGAGTGCTCGTAGCAACTGGATTGATGTTGGCCCATCCACGCTCGGGTGCCTCTCCATCTGTCTGGCCCATGCCTTTGAGGAGGTTGTGAGAGTAAGTAATCTGGCAAATCTTGATGTGCGTAGGAAGATGGAATTTTGGCACAAGAAACGTGATGGTCTTGTTGTCGTGGTGGCGGAGATGGATCGTTGATGGGTATCGATGCATGCGCTGCCACAGATTCGTGCTCCATTGACAAGCGATGTCATAAGATATGTTGAGGACCGCAATATCCCCCGTGTGTTGCATGGTCGAAAAGAAGAGATAATCCATGTTCACGTACCTATAAAAAAGCAAGCATCAGTAACAGAGTTAAAGCAGGCATGTGATCGACTACGTACTTTTCGCCTTTTTGCAAGTCACCGACACCACAGGGCCGTTTGAAATTGTGTCGCGAGCAGTCAACGGTTCCTGCTCCAGTGGCTGCGAGGCCCCGAGAGTTTTTGGTTTCTGCTAAATTGACTGCGTTATGGCTTGCGCATGTGCTTTTCTAAGTTGCTGTCAGACATGATACTCGTTTAAAATTGAATGACCTTACCTCCTGCGGACATCCCCCAACATCAGTAAGAAATGACTTGTACTGTCGTTCCTCCACGAAGTACGCCCAGCCACGGTTGAGCCCAGGGTCCATTTGATCCGAAGAAACATTCTTGCGTGCCAGACGGAAGTTGGCGTCAATCGCGAGAAACAAGGCATATAACCAGCTGGATAGAGTTGATCAGCACAATTCTAATGATACAGGTTGAAGCACATACCGAGTTTCTGACGGGGCACTCTCCCAGTTCTCAGGAAGATTCTTACCAGGCTGAGGACAAGCCGGACACAAAACGGCACATGAACCTTGCTCTGTTGCTCCAGCACCCGCAGGATCGTGTCCCCGTCCAAAGCGTTTGAGTAGAGTGATGTTTCGCCATTCCCGTATCATTCGAAGTAGAGCATCATAACGATCCTATCATTGAGTGTCAGATATTTACTGAAACTGCAAATAAGAGTTAACTTACTTTCACAACGACCACCCCTCTATTGTGAGTAAGACGCGTTAAGGTCTGCCAATATTCGAACAGTTGAGACCTTAGATTCGAACGAGAGAATGTGAAAGTGCCGAAGAAGCTTGAATGTTGCTGCGGTTTTCGGCTCTAGGACTGTTGCAGGGAACCATCGAATGCGAAGCAGCTGGGTGGTGGGACTTTGAGCAGTCTCGCACCCGCAGAAGTCTAAAGCGACTTCATGAACACCATTCACGTGGAGTACAACGAAATCTTGGCAAGCAGCTGGGTTGTAGCAGCGCTCTTGGGTGGGGTGTCCCAGTTGAATTCGCAGTCCGAGAGATTTGAGAGTGACATCGTGAAAAAACGCGTCCTTCCAATGCTAAGAGATGATCAACGATAATTCTTTTTGAAAATGTTCAAGCGACTTACCTTAATCCTGTGCAATGGATGCTCATGGTGCCTCTCCAAGGTGCATGGCTGACAGTATAGCTCGGTGCCAAAACAATCCTCGCAACGAAATTCAGCAGGCAAAGCGCAGCCATAACATCCATGGCAAATGGCTTGAGTCATGAAGTCTCCGCGTCCTTCCAATCTTAACATCTCCAGGATAAATGCGTCTCGTTCTGGAAGCCATGATGCAAGTGGATAATCCTACACAAAATAAATTCAAAAATACAAATATTCAGAGCGCTTGTGCTTACCCCTGCAGTGCGTTTTCGCTTTCTAATACGCTCGATGTTGGTATCTTCTGAGTAGGTGTCATGCGCACCATCCACAATGTTGAAATTGGAGTCATCGAAAGATTGAGGTTCATGATCAGGTAAAACTTGATGTTCCGTGCTTGCGGATGCTGAAGCTTCAAAAAATTCGACTCGTGCAGATAGTCTACTGCCAGTCGTATCCTGGGTCTGAGTGAACGAAGTGTGTTTGTGCCTGTTGGTTGATGTCTGAGATGTCGCGGATGCCGAGGCAAGTCGACGGGCCTCTTCAAGTTCTCGATTGTAAACATAAAATTTCTCCTGCATTTCTTTGTCATATTGTCGTCGACGTCTGCTTGCCATGGTCATTGGAATGTGGTGGGTAGATGTATTGCTGGTAAACACGAGGTAAATGCAAGTCGTACACTAGTACATCCGTGTGAACGTGACTCAAACACGGAGGTTTTTCTGATACATTAACTCCCCTGACGAGTGAGCAATGCTAAGTTCCGAAACTCCCCCCCAGTGAATCAAATAATCAATGTCTTCAAGATATGCAACCGTGGTGCTGAGAAATCGAGACAATGAGTTAGCTGTACGAAACTCGTCCGAGATTGGGCCACAAAAATTCAGGATTTCATCTTGCACACAAATTGAGCGATTTAGAATATCTTGAACCTTGAGCATCGTGTTTGAGATAATGGTGACATCACCATTATCACCACGGTCGTCCGTGTATTTGATGCTTTTGACATAGTGAAGGAAGTTGTCCTCGACAAATTTCTGGGGTTCACGATCATTGGTCAATGACAACATCTCGTCCTTGATGTCTTTGAGAGCAAGGAGGCACCCTGGGAGATCTGATCTGTTGAATGTTAATCTTATGTTCACCATATCAGTTTCTATTTATAAAACATATGGTGTGTCATTCTCATCATCGCTAGATTCATCAGTCTCCAGCTCAGGGTCACTCTCATCTTCATCGTCACGGCTTTTCAAGGCTCTTGCAACTGCCTTCTCAAACAGTCGGGTCTCCCATGTTGGTTTAATTTTTTCAACACGAAGTTCTCGCCGTCTTTTGAGGATACGGTCTCTGTTTCTTCAATTGGTTGCCTAGTCAGGAACATCGCACCACAGACAATTAATTAAAGAAACGTACTTCGCATAGTGGCGCTGGGATTTTTCACGAGCGGCTTGTAGTTTAGCCTCATTTGTTTTATGTATAGGAGGACGTGGCATGGTGTAGTAGTTGGTTGTTGGTTGAAAAGAAGTGCAAAGGTTCTGGTCAGACCATAACTCGATTGAACCAAAGCTAAATCTACTTGCGCAATGGTCAGACCAAAACTACATGTAACTTAATACAATTCTTGCAACACATCTTAGCTTCAATGAGGGTCTTATTCTCTACAAACACTATGAGTATACCCAGTCCAAGCCACCATGCACCTGGATTATTTGTTACTATCATCATTAACATGGTACCGCACCAATGCTTTTGGTCTGACCAAAACCTGTGCTTAATTGACATGGTACTACACCAATGCTTTGTGGTCACACCGAAACCGCGCGCTCAAGATATGATGGGTTTTAATGAATTTATGGTGTCTTTCATTGCTCAAGCGCTCAAGTTCAAGCTTAACACGGTGTACATAACTGAACATGTATGTACGAGATACTCCATTAAACTCTCCCTAAGTGTATTTTCATTGCTGCAATGTTAAAACCTGGTGTGATCAAGATCTCCGTGTTAGTTTCAATTATGTCATACTGAATAAACACGTACAGTGTCCATTTCAATGTTGTCGTTTGCCGTAGCGTTTGTGGCGAGTGACATAGACTCAGTGGAGGATGATGCGTGACATGCTGATATATGTGCACGGCAGACATAACAAGTCTGACGGTGGGTACGGAAGATGCAAGCAGGACAGCCTTGCAAACCAGGTGACGGTAAGGGTGCATCGGCAAGCGAGTAGCCATCATGGACTTTTGTCATTACTTGGTGTCAGCATCAGTCAATACATAATGCAGGTCTACTCGGTAATTACATACCATCTTGGTCGTGAATCAATTGAAGTGCTAATGCAAGCTCGCTCATAGCAAATACTGGCTCATAGTATTCAGTCTCAGATGAGCTGGCAGATTCTTGCACTGTGAATTTCGAACACGTGAGCTGGCAGGTTTCTGTGTGCATAACATACCTTGGTTGCGAATTAACTGTAGTGCTGCAGCGAGCTCGCTCGTGGTAAACACTGGCCCAAAGTATCCATTTTTAGGTACATTGTATGAGTTAGCAGTGTCAGGGTCTGTCATTTGGAGCGAGTGGGAGTGAAAATTTCAACCGAGGACGATTATAGAATGATTATATGAGCCTGATTTTAGCTCCGATGCATTGTGATTGGACAACTGACTGACCTCGTGTGCATTTGAACTTTAATTTCGGGTTGGTGGGCGCAAATGCTCCAACTTGGGACACCCGCGAAGTGACTGTCAAAAGGGCCAAGGTAAGCCATGACATACATTTCATAAATTTAATTAAGATGATACTGATGTGGCGGGGGCAGATGCCACCTGCAGAATGGACAACACCAGACCAGAAAGCTTACCTTGAGTCGAAGTACAATGATTTTTTGAAGGCACAAGCCGGGTCGTCTGTAACACAATTCTGGGGCCCTGTGTTCTCAGAGTGGTTCAGAAGGTTCCCTGAGGAACTTGCAATTTTTGGTGAAGCGCCGGAAGTCTTGTCAGAAGAGCAAAAAGAGGCGAAAGGCACAGCTGTTGATCTCAGGCAAAAGGTGAGTTTATCATTTCATGAGAACCAATTAGACGCGCTTACCATTTCATAAGAAAATCAAGAATTGGTTTAACTACCGTTCTCAGAAAAGCGGCCGCGCTGCTGTAAACGCAATGGGCAAAACAATTCGACAGATGCTCACCAGCAAAGCCAAGGGCACCCGCGTCCACACAGAGGTTGAAATATTCTCAAAGATGAGGTATGCAAATGATGTTCAGCCGCAAATGAAGGAGGGCATCGCTTCAGGCAGCCTTAGTACCAAGAATGAAAAGTTGGGAGCTGTGAGATCGATGACACGCACAGCTTATGAGGATGCGAGTGAGGATTTGAAGGCCTTGTGTAGGGCAAAGGTTCAGGAGGAACGGGATGCCAAGGCATCAGAAGTCCTCAAGAAGACAGATGAGGCCCCTACCAACGCTCAATATGCTATGTATACCATTCTACAACACTCCCGCTTTAACTTGCTCAATGGATGATTTTACAGGGCACTTACTGAGTGTATGGGTCCGATTTCACAATTCATGCAAGTCATCAAAGACATGACGGGTTGGGAATGGAGTCTAATCGGCGCTGGACCAGACCCACGTTTGGACGGAAATATTAATGCCATGAGGTAGATAAGATGTTGTTGTTGATCTGTGAGCGCGGGGAATCTCACAGGCACTGCAGTTACCATTCAGGTGTGAATGCAACTGGCCTCAATTGGAAACAAGCGACACCGCAATTCAACGAGACACACTTGAAGGCGTATGTCGACTTCATTGGCACGATTTTTCAGTAAGTGCCTTCCCATACTACTAGTAAAGACTCAATGTTCAATGTTTGCACCTTCAAACATAGCACCGCACATCAGGAAGACACGTGCAATCGACTATGATGCTTCAGCATCTAGTAGTACGCCATCCACCCCATCCAATTCCCAGTCACTTGATTCCAGCTGCTCTCAGCCAGATGCACTCACCACAACACCTCCGGCTACAACATCTGTTCAATCACCGCCTCTGGTTTTATCTGCACCCCCTGCTTCCACTGAGCTCTACAACCTCCAACATGACCCATCCGTCTCCTTCCCCAGTGTCGGTCAGCAGTCATCCAACGGATACAGCCTCCAAGACGTCTCATTCACAAAAGATTCCACAGAATCATTTGACGCGCCGAATTGGGAAAATCCGCCGCCTCTTCTCCGCCCCTTACTTGACGGATCTCAAAGCATGCCCAATGGGTCTACAAGCACTTCCACCTGGGGGACGCCACCTGCACTGCACTCATTCCTGTCTTCAACAAACTCTTTCCCCCCTGCACTACAGTTGTCCCCAATCACACCACATTTGTTTACCCAATCGGCAGCATCGCACTCGCTACCTTCTTTGCCACCTATAGCAACCCCACAATTCACGTTCCCGTCACTTCCTTCCCCGTCACTCCCTTCCCACTCCCTTCCATGTCACTCCTCAGTTCTCCCTTCACCCATTGTCGCTGCCCCGGTTGTCGCTGCCCCAGTTCTCGCTGCCCCGTCACTCTCTGCCCCGGTTCTCCCTTCCCCGTCACTCCCTGCCCCAGTTCTCCCTTCCATACCTCCTGCGTCTCCTGTGGCGGAGACCCCACAAAATGAAGAAGTGCAACATAGCGCACCAGAGAAAACACTCAAGGCAAAACGAAAGCGCGCATCAAAGGCTGTCGACACGGTCATGGAGGTTATCGAGTCCGCTGATTCGAATACACTGCGAAAGACTGGTCGTATTCGGCAGGAGTCCACCCGTATGGCGCAGGCAACCAAATTGGCCAAATCAACAAGCGAGCGAGAACTCGGAGATAGGACTTTTTTTGAACGTGTGTCTACACTTGCTCAATGCATTGAATCGTTTACTGACACATCTCTCGCATCATTTTCAGTACCTATAATTGTGACTTATTGTGTTCTTGTCCCTCGTTTTTCGTATACATGTCGTCGTATAATAGTGGTAGTACATATATCAAATTTTTCTTGCTCTTGATCATTAATGACATACGAAATTCAACGCTGTACTCACAAATTCCAAACTGACTTAAGAGACATCTTTTTGAGGTTGAGCATTGATCCGGACTTCAATGAATTGTGCAAGTGTACATTCCCTCTTGCTACTACACAAATCAAAGGAGACAACAGGTGCAGGCTGTACTGTTAATATTAAGCATAATACTGTCTAGTGAGAATGGCCGACTCGCAAATGACTTAGTGAAATTTCGACTGCAAGATCCTGACCCGATTTGAGGAACCACCAGAACCACGATCTAGATGTATAGATCTGCTGGCTACAGGAACAAATCAAAGGAACCCCAGGAATTGGTATTTCGTCCTAGATTGGTCAAAAATCGCCAGAATGAGTGTCTGGAGCGTTAAGCATCGTGGGAATGCATTAAGCATCACCATTGGTAGTGAAGCCCTAAGAGACAAACTTACAAAACCATACTGTTTCTCACTAGACAATATTATGCTTAATATTAACAGTATAGCCTGGGTTTACCTCCTGTGAAAATTTTTCCTGTAGGACCGGACCTCAAGTATTGCATGGGGTCAATTCCTATGCATATTTAGAGTATATCTATCACCTAGCTACTCCAGAACATCCACAGGGTCCTTCCACAGGAACATAAATATAATATATCGCAATTTTGACAATTTTGATGTTTTTCATTCCCTTACTCTTGCACAAATAATCCAAGCTGGTCATATATCATCATTGGGGCACATATACATGCTTTGTGTGCCCAGGATCAGCTCATAATAGGCCGGAGATTTCAGATCATGTGTATGCTTACTATTTCTACTGATTAGGGGCCCATACCTTTAAAACATCGGAATTTAATGATCAGACACCTGGAGTGCATGTCATATATATTCAGTATCACAGATCTCAAATTTCAGAAAGATCCATCAAGTATTGAGTGAAATGAATGCAAAAGAACATATGTGTGAAAAGTGACAATTGACACATATCACACAGAATTCACATTTATATATGATATAGGTCAAATATTTCATTAAATTTTGATTAAAAACATGTTAGACTACACAAGGAACCTATACTACACTTTGCCCTGAGAGTGGAAGGGATGTGGAAGGGATGTGGTAGTGAAGTCAGTTGATGCAGCATAAAAGTCCTACAACTTCTTAACTAGTGGGATTCAAAACTGGTCTTGAAACTTCCCTGAAAGCGTTAACAAACATGCAAACTTTTCGGAACCCCGGCAGCAGGCATCGGAGTCTGAAATCAAAACTTCATGCTACACATGAACGATGCCCCAATACGCCCATCTGCTGTAAGACGTTCAGCATGCCTCCAACAGCTTTCTCAAATATCTGCTGGTCTGAATATGAGCCAGTTCCAACCACCACCACAACCACCACAACCACCGCAACCACCGCAACCTTCGCATGGCAGGGCGAGGGCTAGGGCTAGGGCGAGGGCGAGGGGTACCACTATTGTGACTCGTGGGAGGGGAGGAGGAGGAGGAGGAGGAGGAGGAGGAGGAGGAGGAGGAGGTACCGACCATCCAGACCCCCCCCCCCCCCCCCCCCCCCCCCCCCCCCCCCCCCAATATCAACATGCAGCAGATCTGAATGATGGAGATGCCACTCCGACTCCTGGGGATGATACCAACTTTGCCCCTTCCAAGATCAGATGGGAAACTGTCAACCATGATCGCACTACCCCTCTTGTATCCTGGCTTGCTGTACATTCACCCGACTGTCGCATACTCTTCTCCGACAACAAAAAGCAACGCGATATGACGATCAGCACTGATCGTCCTTCTGGCAGGAGTAAAGCCGAAATCCACCTTGTAATCACCAAACATATCTTTGCCAATGACCCGGTATATGGGCCCCAGTATGCTGTAGAAGAGAATAGGCCAAAGTTTGGACAAGCTGTTGCCAATCGCCTCACATAGTATGTACTTTGTTCCCATCTCGTCTGTACATACTAATGACAAAATCTCAGTCTCAGGGGGAAGTATAAGGCTGCAATTGCTCGGTTTGGGATGACTGGCGCTGGCGTAAACCCTCTCGACCCTCAGGCTAAAGTAAATCTGCAAGGTAAGTTTTGTTTTAAATTATTTAAATTATCTTATCAAACTAGAAAAATCACAGTGCAAGTAGCATCTGAATTTCCGTGGTTCGAAGACCTTGATGCGTTGTGGAAGGACAACACTGCCTTTTCTCCAAAGACCTTCTCCTCTGTTCCTGGCAAAGATCGTGCTGGTGGCCTCCACACGCTCACCCAACCTAAAATCAAACTGATTGCCTCTAGCTCTGTGGTACGCTCACAACCAAAGGGGAAAGAGAGGGCTTTAGATTTTGATCCTGATGACATCGTGGATGATGACGCTCCTCGCGCTACCACCTCTAACATACGCAACCCTCCTGCTGACAGCGCCCCACCTGCCACCTTTACTGAGGCCTATGACCCTGCTCATGACGACTATGACCCTACATATAACGTCTACGACCCTGTGCCTGAAGAGTTGGACTACACAATGGGTGAGGGAAATTGGGATGGTGGCGCTGAGGACTTGGAGATGGAGGAAGATAACTATGGGGATCAGAGTGATACTCAGCGGCGTCTAAGCAGCAAATGCCCATACCAAATGTCCCCCTCACCCCCCCCCCTACCTTCAAGCCATTAAATCATGCCTCTGAGTATGATCGCCGTGAAGCGGCTTTCACTGGCAAGTCTCATGTCAGTTGTGCCATGAATTGTGGCCCCCCTCGTGCAAAAAAGCCAGCATCTATGGCATCCTCATCATCCAATACCCCCAGCTCATCTGCACGGACGTTCTCTTCATCGTCCCGTGTAGACTCACAGCCCTCACGCCAACAAACTCAGCACAAGCGCAACCTTTCAGGGTGCGTTCAATCGGGAACGTCAGATATGCTTGACCAGGTGGGGTCTCTCACTGACGATATGAGTTACATCTACTCTGCAAAGGCAGCTTCCTCCAAGTATAAAATCGCCAAAGTCAATGCTCTCCACCAAGAGTGTGAGCTCTAATTCCAACGAGACCAGGGTGCAATAGAGCGTGATGAAGCTGCTTCAGTGCACACGCGGTCACAGGAGGCAAAGGCACTCGAGCTTTGTCTTCTCGAAGCACAGGCCAAAGTTCAGTCTGAGAAGGCGGCTGCCCTTCGCCTTGAAATTGAGTTGATCAACCTGAAAGAAGTGTCTTCATCAAAGGGGGGTTCCTCGTCCACTTAATTCATAATACATTTGTCTTTCATTCGCGTCACGTTGATATGTGCATTCCTAATCTCATTGTTGTATGTCCATGCTTTACATGTTGTATATGTCCCTACTGTTACCTGTTGCACCTTGTCTGCTCCTGCTCTGCCTGCCTCCGCCTCTCAAGTGTGATAAGCAAGTGGTCCATCAACCGACTGCGAGACGCCTGTCCAGGAGTTCCTGCATATGTCATATCGCCAGCTCCGTCCTCGCCAACATCCTCCTCCTCCTGCTCCTCTACAGACCCATCCTGCCTCCTGGCCCAATCTGTAGTGTCGATGCGACGCCGTTCCTCGAACCGGATGACCATATTGTGGAGGATCAAGCAGCACATGATCCAGTACGAAGTGTACTCGAGGTGCTTCTCGGTCTGTATTGGATGTCGAAGCTCACAGAGGGACTGAAAACGGCCTTTGAGTGCCGCAAAGGCATGCTCAATACGAACACAGACCTAAGTCCAAAAATTAGTAAGTACACACAACGAAAAAAAATAATACACATACCGTAGACAGATTAAAGTTGAATTTTTTTTGCTCCCACTTCAGTGCACCATTGCGCGGCTTCTTGAATGGCACGATGCACCAGGTCTCCAAAGGGTAAGCACTATCAGCCCAGATCCAGTGCTCATCTCCAAGGAGCGTCTCATGCTCTTGAAAAATGTGTGTTGAGTGGAAAGCATATGCGTCGTGTGCGCTACCGACGTGGCTGATTGAATAATCCACTATAAGGAGGTTATGAGGCATTACCACTACCTATAAGAGGTCTATCAGTTAAAATTTGAGAAGAAAAACAACATACCTAGCAATTAAGGGAGAAATTGGACTTGCGGTTGTAAAATGTGTCTCCGAAGAGCCCCGGCTTATAGCAGAGGTTAACCATAGAGCCATCCATAGCAAAGATACCATTATGCCATTGTGGGCAGATCTTTGAGACATAGTCTCGGGCACAAGCAGCATCATTCAAAGTGAGACTTGGGAAGAAGATGAATTCGTCATGATGCTCGAGTAGAGCGATCATGACACGATTGGTGCAGTTAGTAACTGATCCGACGCTAACACCCGCCCATTGGCAGACATATTCATTAGCTATCGCATATCCGTAGTGACCTGCATGATTTAGAAATATTGCAAGCTGTAAGGCGATGGGAAGCTGACAGTTGTTCGAGTGGTTTTGGAAAATGGGACTATCACTGATATAGTCGAGGATGTCATCGAAAACGTCAGGGTATACACGCAATTTCTGGTGAAAGAGATCTGGGCGATGGGCAGCAAAATGAGGTAAGAGCTGAATCTGCGGCGCACGCATGGGGGGCTCGTCAGGGCGATGGAGGACCCGTGCTCTCTCTATTTCATCACGAAGCGCTACAATATCTCCCAAAAGGCGCAGAAAGTGTAGATTGATATCGGAGGAGTCGGGTACTTGAGTTAGTTGAACCATCAAACATATCTGATAGAGGAGATATTGGAGATATAATCATAGGACTTAGGATTGAGCTATCAGAGCCGGTTGATTCAGAATCTTCTGTATTACGTCTAGCATGCTCTATACGAGCCAATGCAACTTGCAGCGAAGCAGCATCTAGCTGGTGTAAGAGGTCTTGACGCACGGATGTTCGAGGCATTGCGTCTAACCCTAACCCCTAATCGTTGACTTGTATGTGTGGCTAAGGTAATTGAGTGGAGTTTAAATTCACACTTTGAAAAATTTCGCAATTCTTTCAAACACGTTTCAACGCGCTTTCAGTGTGTTTCTTGAATATTCAAAATTTTACTTTGAATCCCACTACTGACCACTTTCAATGTCTTGAGCATTTGAAGTTTCCCACACTCAATTTCTTATCTATTTACTTCCCCAGTCCTCAATCCTGGGTAGATCTTTCTATAACTTGAGTACTATGATGCTGAATGTATGTGAGATGTACTACAGACGTCTGATCATTAAATTCCGATGTTTTAAAGGTATGGGCCCCTAATCAGTAGAAATAGTAAGCATACACATGATCTGAAATCTCCGGCCTATTATGAGCTGATCCTGGGCACACAAAGCATGTATATGTGCCCCAATGATGATATATGACCAGCTTGGATTATTTGTGCAAGAGTAAGGGAATGAAAAACATCAAAATTGTCAAAATTGCGATATATTATATTTATGTTCCTGTGGAAGGACCCTGTGGATGTTCTGGAGTAGCTAGGTGATAGATATACTCTAAATATGCATAGGAATTGACCCCATGCAATACTTGAGGTCCGGTCCTACAGGAAAATTTTCACAGGAGGTAAACCATCAGGAGAGGGGGGATGTACTACACAGCAGGGTCTTATCCTATGGTCCTGAGCTTCTGATACATTTTTAATACTGTTGGATAGATGCTGGGAATCATGTTTCAAAGGCTCTGTACCTAGAAATTAATACATGAGAACATATTTTGTATTTTCTGTATATATGCCATATCTATTGATGTAGGGCGCTTCAGGGGGTCAAACAAGGCTTGGAATCTCTTCATATATATTCTTAAACATGGTCTGAGGATCCTAGAACACTTCTCTATTAAAGGGGCAAAAGTGCGAAAGTGTTCTATACCCTAACCTATTTTAAATGGCCCCTGGAGGAGGAGGAGACATACAAATAAACAAAAAAGCGGTCTATTATAGTATATTATACATGTATATACCAAACTACTACTTAGATACAAGGGGGGACCTATTGTGGTGTAGTGGTGAAGCTGCAGTAAGGTGGGGAGGGTGTGGGAATAATTGATATTGTGGAGATTCCCAAAATGGGCGATGTTTTTGGTGTTGTGGGGAAATTCCCACAGTAGGTGGCCCAAAATGCGGAGCTATGAAGTGTGAGAATATTGTGGGGGGGTAGGTGGCCAAAAATGCGAAAATATGCTGGGAATGATGTATACAGAAGCCACTGCTGGGATCCACCCAAGGATACATCAACCTAGATAGTGTTACAGTGGATAGCTAAACTGAATGATGTATCAGGGTTTTTGGCTAATAAGCCAGTTTGGATATATCCTTCCCCCACTAACAGGTGCCCCTATTGTGGACCTGGAGGGCGTATGTAGCGTTAGTAAAAGCCTTCGTTACGGTCATCTGACCAAGACAGTATCTTGTCATTTTTTTTCTTCTCTCATATTCTTTAGTGTTCCTTACTGGACAGTATTTAAACCACCATTTATCTACTAGTACAGTAGTTGATCCTTTTCCCCCCCAAAATAAACACTTAGTTCGGCCAGTTTCCCCTGCTCGATTCCTAAGTCAACCAAAAGTCAACTTCCATCTCATGTGAATGTTCCAAGAACGCCACAGTCCGGCACTTCCAGCTAAGCCTCCGACTCAGATAATCTCCTCTCTGTTCTCGTACAACCCTAAAGTCGAAGCTTCTATACCCTCTGTTGTCCAAGAAACACCCTCTAAACCAAGTAACGTGCCATTGACTGCCTCAGCCACATTTGCAGACCTAGGTTTCCACCCTCTCCTCGTCGCTCACCTACAATCCAAGATGAGTATCACTAAGCCAACATCTATTCAATGTACTGCCCTTCTGACAATCACGAATCCCTCTTCTGAGGGCATGAATGCACACAACGTATTTATACAATCGCAAACCGGCTCCGGAAAGACCATGTCGTTCCTCCTACCTATAATCTATGATCTTCTCCCCCTCAGTACACACTCCTGGATCGACCGCTTGATAGGAACGCTCACCATCATTATCGCACCTGCTCGTGAACCAGCAAAACAAATTTCCGATGTTTTAGAAACACTGTTAACACTTAAGCCACGTACTCGATGGTTAGTCTCCGGCTTGCTAAGCAGAGGCGCAACTCGTGCGCACGAGAAGGCGCGTCTACAAAAAGGTGTTCCAATTATTGTCTCCACCCCAGGTTGCCTACTAGATCATTTGCAAAACACATCTTCTTTCGACGCTGGAAAATGTAGATGGTTGGTTCTGGATGAGGCGGACCGCTTAATGGAACTCGGATTTGAGGACACTATCAATGGGATTGTGCAAGGTCTGGATGGGAGGAGGAACCTCGCTCCAAGCGGTTCGGGACGGTAAGACCTTCGAGGTCAGGAGTTGGGATTGGGACTGGCAAAGATGGACAATTCTTTGTTCGGCTACTATCCGTGAAGACGTACAGAAACTCGCGGGCACCATGTTAATACAACCGCTAGTAATCAAGGGACTCGACAACGAGAAGGCGGAGGATTCGTCAGCATCAAAACATGGCAACAAAACAGCTACCACCAGCCCCGAGAACTTCACTCCCCCATCACAAGTCTCCCAGAAATATGTTATTGTTCCTCTCAAAATGTGTCTCGTTGCGCTTGTCGCACTTCTTCGCTCATTGCTTGCTCGGACACAAGGACAAAAAGGGTCGAAAGTCATTGTATTCCTTAGTTGTATAGATTCCGTCGATTTTCACTGGTGTCTGCTAGGCAATTTGTCTATGGACGGCGAGAAGACGGAAAGTTCTGGGCCTGGCGAAGACAAGAGTGATGCCGAAGATAGCGAGGCAGATGAAGAGGAAAGTAAAATCGCTGCGCAGTCTTCGCTCCTTCCAGGCACTTCAATCTTCCGTCTTCACGGCTCCCTTCCTACACCAATTTGTCTCGCCTCTCTACAGGGATTCTCTGCCATTCCTTCCTCAAAATACAAGATACCTGCTCCCGCGTCCTCCATTCTCCATTGCACGTCCGTGGCATCCCGAGGTCTCAACCTACCCCTGGTTCGTGCAGTCGTACAGCACGACCTGCCCACTGAAGGCGGTGCAACTGAGTACGTGCACAGGGTGGGATGGACAGCACGTGCGGGCAATGGTGGTGAAGCTTGGAGTATCGTCACGCCCAACGAATCTGAATGGGTGAGATGGGTGGAGGGGAAGATGAGAGGCGATGTGATGGGAGAAAAGTCCGACGGTGACAAGATCAACATCACTCTTGAAGGGGCAAGCATCGAGAGTGTGTTGGCGAAGGGTTTCGGTGGAAAAGGCTCAGAGTACGAGGCGCACGCGATAGAAGTGCAACTTTCTTTTGAGCGGTGGGTTTTGCGGCGCAAGTCAGTGAGTCTAATTTGGAAAGGGATTCAAGTGTGTTGACATTGTCTTTGCAGAACGCTGACTTTGCTCGAAGAGCATATACTTCTTACATGAGGGCTTATGCGACCCATCCTTCGAACGAAAAGCATATATTCCATGTTCGGCATCTTCATAATGGACATCCGGCAAAGGCATTTGCGCTGCGGGAGGCGCCAAAGATGATTACTGACCACAAGAATAAAATTTCCAGCGTATCTAAAGGCTGTGGTTCGTGTTCTGCTAAATCTACAGCACAGCATGATATTGGCGATGCAGAGCAACGGATGCAAGATGTTGTCCGTGCGCAGGGCCGGCGCTTGAAGAAGGATGGCAGGATGATTAGCAGTGGGACCAACGAGTCTCAAATTGCATCAAGCACCACCTTGGATTCACTCGTCCATAGCTATCGGTTGTAGTCTGACAGCATGGCTTCCAGCTTCTCTTCCATAGCATGCACTAGTGACGTTGTACTAATCATGAAATCCTATTTTGCACCAAGAATGCGGGGATAAACGGCCGGGTCGTCTGATCCTTGTCGAGCCACAAGAGATGGTCCATTGATGGATGGTACTGCGTAAGACCTCCAAGTTCGTGGACAAAGGAAGATAATCTAATCTAATCCCGAAACTGAGCGGGTTTTCACATTTTAGACAAGACAGTCTATTCCGAACGTTTGAATGTCAGATACAACTAAATTATGAAGTATGGAAAGATTAGACCCGTGCGCGCGGTTGAACATCACTAGTAATCAACAAAAGGTCCGTATCGCGTGTAGTGTCCGTTTCAGGTCAGAAAGAAAGAAAGAGAACCAGTGCATACATAGTAAGCGTCGAGCTAAGAATTAACGATATCAACCTGATACAGGGCAGTATCAGTTTTCAGACGTCTGGCGAGGGAATGACGAGAATAGACACACCTTTGCCAGCTTCTGCCCTTGAGATAAAACAATGAGGCAAGACTGCAGGCCCTTCAAACACCACTGCCTTTCAAGCCAGGAGAGGAGATAACAGTTCCAGAAAGTCTGGAATACATGATTGAGCTTGTGATTTGGAGCTTGCAAGAGATGGGTGGCCCAGTTTTGACAGGCGTACTTGAGAGCATCGGAAGCTGATCGACTTTGTTCCCGAGCTTCATTTGCAAAAGGGTAAAGGCATTCATAGCAGGAATGACATCCCCGCAGTCGGATGAAAAAGAACCTTCTGATAATGTAGGGGTGGAATAGTCCTGGTGCGATAATGCAAGGAACATTGGAAACATCAAGAAATCTGGCAAGTCCTTGAACTGCTGGACTACTTGGAAAGCTGGGAGTAACAGTAGTTCTGGAACAATGACATACTCGCTCACAGCTTGCAGTGTGCTCAAGAATTCTCTCATCGTAACCCAGACAGACGCCGCGGGAGTGGACTGCCATACTTGTCCATAGGGTGTTTGCAGCCAGTCTCGCCCGCATGGGGTCTGCAACCAGCCTCGCCCGTGTGGAGTCTGTAACCAGTCCAGCCCTCCCTGGGTGTGCAACCAGGTGTTCATGTCTGGGCTCTGCAGCCAGTCTCGTCCATGCTGGGTCTGCAGCCAATCTTTCCCTCCCTTGGTATGCAGCCAATCTCGTCCGCACTGAGTCCACAGCCAGTCTTGCCCATGCTGGGTCTGCAACCAGTCTCCCCCTCCCTCGGTCTGCAGCCAGTCTCGTCTGTGCTGGGTCTGCAACCAGTCTTCCCCTCCCTTGGCATGCAGCCAGTCTCGTCCATGCTGGGTCTGCGGCCAGACTTCCCCCGACAGTGTCTGCAGCCAGTCTTGTCCACGCTGGGTCTGCAGCCAATCTTTCCCTCCTTTGGTATGCAGCCAGTCTCGTCCGCACTGAGTCCACAGCCAGTCTTGCCCGTGCCAGGTCTGCAGCCAGTCTCCCCCTCCCTCAGTCTGCAGCCAGTCTCGTCCATGCTGAGTCTGCAACCAGTTTTCCCCTCCCTCGGTATGCAGCCACTCTCGTCCACGCTGGGTCTGCAGCCAGACTTGCCCCAGCTGGGTCTGCAGCCAACCTCGTCCACGCTGGGACCGCAGCCAGACTTGCCCCGGCTGAGTCCGCAGCCAGTCTCGTCCACGTTGAGTCTGCAGCCAGACTTGCCCCGGCTGGGTCTGCAGCCAGTCTCGTCCACGCTGGGTCTGTAGCCAATCTTTCCCTCCCTTGGCATGCAGCCAGTCTCGTCCATGTTGGGTCTGCACCCAGTCTTTCCCAGGCTGGGTCTGCAGCCAGTCTTGCCCAGTCCATGTCTGCAGCCAGTCCCGTCTGTGTTGGGTCTGCAGCCAGTCCCGTCCGCGTTGGGTCTGCAGCCAGTCCCGTCCGCGTTGGGTCTGCAGCCAGTCCCGTCCGCATTTGGTCTGTAGCCAGTTTTGCCCACACTGGGTCAGCAGCCAGTTTCGTCCGCGCTGTGTCAGCAGCCAATCATCCCCTCCCTTAGTATGCAGCCAGTCTTCTACTCCTATTGTCTGCAGCCGGTCTTTTCCGTGCTGGGTTTGTAGCCAGTATTTCCCAGGCTGAGCCTGCAGCCAGTCTTGCCTGCGCTGGGTCTGCACCCAGACTTGCCCACGCGAAGTCTGCAGCCAGGCTTGTCCTCGTGGGGTCGACAGCCAGTCTCGCTCGCCCAGGGCCTGCAGCCAGTCTTGCCCGCCTCAGGTCTGTAGCCAGTCTTCCCCGATCCGGGTCAGCAGCCAGATTTGCCTGTGTGGTGTCTGCAGCTGCTCCTCTGTCTGGGTATTCAGCCACGTCTGCCCACGCGGCGTCTTCAGCCAGGCTCGTCCACGCGGTGTCTGCAGCCAATCTTGCCCTCTCAGGATCTGCGGCGAGTCTTGCCTTTTCTTCTTTTTCTCCCTCTTCTTCTTCTTTTTTGAGGCATTGTTTGTTGTCCGGTAGACAGTACATGACAGCTTACCCTGCTGAAGACATGATAACTGGATACCCTGCTGAAGGTATGATAACTGGATATCCAACTTGTAAATGTCGATCACGTTGGAGGCCGGCACGTAAGGTGAAAGGCGTAGTGTCGGAATCATGAACTCGTTGGAGGCCGGCACGTAAGGTGAAAGGTATCGTGTCGGAATCACGACCTCGTTCATCGGATACCAATATGGTTCGACCAACCAGTCTTTCCCTTCTCGAGTCTGCAGCCAGTCTACCCCTTCCTGAGTCTGTAGCCAGTCTCCCCCTCCCTGGGTCCGTAGCCAGCCATTCCCGCTCTCTTTCCGTAACCAGTCTCTCCCTCCTGGGGTCTGCAGCCAGGCGTGCCCATCCAGGCTCTCTATCCAGGATAGTAAATCTGATCCACGATCACCCCGAAGCCATAGTATGCCGATAAGAATTGACAGTGGCTCCGGTGGCTGTATGAGGAAGGATAGCGAGTCTTTTAATTTCTCGGGGTCCTGGGGTTCTATAGCTTGGCTGTGGTTCTTCAATTTTGAGAGCGCATCGAGAAGGGCCGTGCTTTCTTTAATCTCCTTCATCATCAAGCGGAGGGAGGAATTGGCGAGTTGGGAATGAGGTGATGGCATATTGTGTTTGCATACTTGATGGAGGCTGCAGTTTGAGGAGTCGGAGACATAGTCACGAATGGACGAGTGATGGATATTTACAGAGAGACTGGTATCGATAGGAATATCCACAAAAGACCATAGCTGTATCAGTGTTTTCTGCACATCCCTGCCAAGACCAGGGCCAAGGAGTGTTGAGATTTGGGAGATAGGAAGAGGGTGTGCGAGAGCAGCAACAATGGACAAGTGCATGTAAGCACGCTTGGGGTCGGCACACGTGGAGAGGATACAATCGTATAACTTGTACACATCCGTTCCTGGTAACAGCTCGCTCGTGAGCTCGAGCATCAGCTGTAACCGATCATGGGGATCATTGTCTTCATCATCGATAATGAACTTCATCATCATAGACGCCACAATGAAATGTCTCCCCACTCGGCTCGCCAGCTTCGCAAGGTCATCCTTTGATGGCTGCGGGAAAACGGGATGGCGACATTCCAGCTCTCTGAAGGAATGCCACAAGAAAGTACAGATGTCATTGTCAACGTCTGCGCCGTCTAACGAAATGATGCCACCCTCCCCAGAAGTTCTCACGGGTATCTCGTGCACCAATTGGCGCACCTCATCGTTCTGAAAGACTTTGCTAATATGCGATTCCGAGTGACTTGTGAGCAGAATGTGGGTCACGGGTAGATCAGGCTCACGAAGAGCCCGTGCAAGGGAAAGGATGAGTTCGGTAAGCTCAGGTTCGGATGTGCATTCGTCAAGCACATCGATGACAAACGATAAAGGCTGACACCCACGCAATCTGGGTTGGAGTTTCCGGAGAGGTCGGAGAAAGAGAGCCTCCATCTGGTCGCGGATAGATGTGTCTGGATCTAGTAGAGCGGGATTGTCGCAAATAATTTTGCTCACATACTTGTGGATGCTTGGAAAATTGGTGGCAAGCTGGTAGACAAGTGTCGCAAAGAAATATTCAGCTGTGCAACGTTTGGTGTGCTTGCGCGAGAAAAAGAACGTCCCCGCTAGCCGCTTTTCGACATTCATCTCTTCTGTCACTTTCAGACCTCTCATCCTCTCAGCTACCGTGAACGCAACAGCGGACTTTCCGACGCCTGCCGTGCCATGTAGCCAAACAAGCTGATTATCCTCTGTGTCGTCCAGGAATCCGTGGATTTATTTGAGGAGATCTACCCTGGTCCCTTGCAGACATTTCGGGTGGGGCAGACATTCACGGGAGTTATATTGAGCACCCTTGACAGCGACCTCGGACAACTTCGCCCAGGATCCTTGAAGAACTGTCAAAAAGGTCAGAGAGCATGCGAGAGATAAGAGATGGAAGTACTGACATTGATTGTCACTCATTGATGAAGGTTGTGATATGTGAGATGCAAGAAATCAATTGAAAGTACTAAGTAGTTGGGTCGAGGGTGTGGTTAGAAATAATCTTGGCAATAGTTATTTGGAGGGACGACATACGACAATTTGAATCAAAGCTTGTAAGTTGTGATTAGGTCGCAGAACGATCCAGCTGTCGATTGATGGAGAATGCGAAGCTGGGATGGACGGATGGATGTTTCAATCTATGCTGCTATGGAAAGCTCGCTGGATGGTTGTGGAATGCAGTTGAAGAACGAGTAGGCGCTTGCCGTCCAGTGCTTGCAGGAGGACACGAGGCTGCTGTGCAGCCACAGTACTTACTACCAGAACCACGCAGATTACTTAGGCTCTGCGCTACCTGAGTAGGATATATTGCGTCCGTTCTTTGATAGACACCTGATCTCATGGCAAGTTGTGCAATGGGCTTGCTTGTGTCTCTTAGTTGTGTTGCCCAGAAATGAATAAATTGTTGCGCTAGAAACAATATTGTGATTGTTGCAGCAAGCAGCAATGGTGCGCAAAAGGACGGGACCAGCATTAAATGTGAAGGCATTTCGCGGTCAGGTTGGAGTAGTGCCGTGGGCAGAAATATTTCCGGGCGAGTTCTGCCAAACGAACGGCAGAACGGCAATTGGCAGAATGGCAAAATCGGCAGAAATGTTTTGCGTGTTTTTGTGTGTTTCTAGAGTTGTTTAAGATGACGGCAAAAATGATCTAAGCTATTGCATGGATGCTACACCCTCCGACAACAACAGTGTGTCGATGTTCCAGACTGCCTCTGTGCCTTGTGACCCATGGCCAACCACATCAATCTCTTCAATAAATGCCGCAAGTGTGATTCCTTTATTAACCTTCTCCAGCTCGTTCCAATCAATAACACCTTCCTCGAAAATATCTGGGACTTCACAAGTACCTTCAAGCTCTTGCAAGCCACGGCATGAATCCAGCATCTCATTTTCGAACCTGCTGAATTCTTCAAGCAGCTCTTCATCCTTTATCGACTCTGGACCTGCAAGAAATTCATCATCCGAGTTGCAAGAGTCACCAGCGAGTGGAGGCACCCATGCGAAAGACCTTTGAAGTTCGTTCGCTAAGGCTATGTCAAGTCCACGCTCTGGTTGGGTGTGCATATGGGCATGTTTGCGACATGTTGGCTTGCCGGCTTCGTGATCCACCTTGTGCAAGAAATTTGAGTAGCTTGCTCGGAGTTTGCTATGAGACTCGAAAGTCTGAACTGATAGGTTACAGCGCTTCACAGATTGTACCCCACCCAGGCCTGAGAAATAATGCTCGACATCGGCAGCATGAGGTACAATTGAGTGGATTATGATTGCGAATGCCTTCAACGGACAGCGCTCGGCACTGACTGGGAGGGTTTCCCACCAATCAAGTGCATCAGCTTGCCCTCCGGAAAATACTCCAGAGCATTTGTGATACTCTTTCAAGTCAGCGACGAGCATTTTTGCAAGCTGTTCGCTCCATTGCCATTGTTTGGCAATGTCAAGAGCTACCTCCACCATGAACTTGAATGAATGCCCATTTGCTGCTTGTGAAATCATGAGTTTACGGCACACTTGAACTCATCGAAACAATTTGAAATTGGCATGTGTTGCTTGCTCTGGAGTGACTGGAAGATCCACAAACCCAAAGAGGTTCTTCCGTTTCTGTGGGGCTTGAGCTGTGCCTCCTGAAGTTGACGGGGATGAAACAGATTCTGCGTTTGGAATAAGTGGGAGTAGGAGGGCTTGATATCCGTTCTTTGAGGCAAGATAGTTACAGACTTCTGTACGAGCGTGATCTGGGGCTGTAGGGCAAGTATTCCGGTCAAGAACATGTTTGAGGTGTTTGTTGTCACGGCCTTCTATAGATGTTGAACAGTAGTTGCATTTGTAAAAATAACGATGTGGTGTTCAAACTTTCTGTAGCCTTGCAGAGGCACTTTTCACTATGCATCTCTTATTGACACTTTCCTTAGATTAGGTTCGCACTTTTGCTGCTTACATAATCATCTTCCCTTTACCTAGGACTCTACAGTCATTACCTAGTTTTCCCTTGTTTCCAGTTCTTTGGTTGCTCCCCATTCACTTGGGTTATTCAGTAGCATCCCCTAGTTGTAGCTTTCCTAGTTGTAGCTTCTCAGCTCACCAGATAGCTCCTGGAACATAGTTTTCTTACCTTGACTTGGAGTACCTTCTCCACTCTCTTTCTTTGAGCCTGAGCCTAGTCAGAGATAGTCAGAGATCCTTTAGGGTCGAACGTTCTTGCTAGCAAGAGTAGCAGCTAGGAGAGCAGGAGACTCATATATATTGGTTTGGTGCTTTTACCTACAGCCCAGCCATATCTTGTCACCACAATGATTGGATGAATTTGGGACTTTGTGCTGTTGGACAAAGTGGTTGGTGATGATTGTTCGGGTGGGGGCGGCCCTTGGATTTTTTTGACGACATTCTGGTGAGCAGAGAGGCTCAGATACACTTTTTGAACATCAAACATATGCTATTTGCTCGTAGTACAAATAAGATTCACATTGATTTCTGCCGACTTCTGCCAAAGGGCCTCGACCTACTGCCGGCAATTGCCGGTTGCCAATTGCCATTGGCAGAATGGCAGACTTCTGCCCACAACACTAGGTTGGAGCTTCCTTTTTCAGCCGGGCGTCACTGACGGCGTCATCTGTATTTATCGAGTAGCTTGCAGGAGTGACACGGTGTAGAGACTCGTGTTTTCTGCAGGCACATATAGGCACATTTCGCACCTTTTCACAACTCATGACAATTGGCCTTCAATGCACAACTCACACCATCAGCTATATTCGACTTCTATCATGTCCCTAGTCGTTTTACACATAACGCGCAGCTTTCCCGCGAAACGCGCCATAGGCGCAGTACTTTCCCGCACAATGCGCAGCATTCCCACACGCACACCTTGCGCGCTTTCTCGCGCTTAAGCGCCCTGCAAGCGCCCTGCATCGCCTATCATCCAGGAACGTCCCTCTATGTCCACCCACCTCATTGGTACATCATATCCCTTGCCTCGTGGTTTGTAACAAGCATTGCAGTGTTATTACATGTCATTACATATTCATAGCGCTTATTGCTCCTATCCCTTCCGCTTCCGATGTGATTTCCATAGTATAAAGTTGCTGACTTACTACATCATCATTATTACTCCCCTTCGCTGTACTTCCCTCGCTATTGGGTTTTACTTTAAAGTAGTAGTCACCACTTGGGCGCACTTTGTGTTTCCAATGGTTATCGTTATCCGCCTATACTAGACCTTTATCCGCGCTCGTTATAACACTCGCTCTGCATTTGCACTCGCTTTGCACATCCACTTCCTTATTCGTTTCCTTATCCGGTATTTTCCGCACAACGCGCGGCCTTAGCGCTCACGTTCCCACGCTCGCGCTTACCTTAGTGCGCTCTCTCGCGCTTCGCGCTCACTTCGCTTTCTTCTTGCGCTTTCGCGCATCCATCACACTTCAAGGGTCTTTCTTCCATCTGGTTCTGTGTTCAGTAGCAGTCCCCTTTAGGGTCGAACGTTCTTGCATTCTGCGAGTATAGCAGCTAGGCAGAGCCAAGACTCACTTATACTGGTTGAGCATTTTTAGATATTTCATATCAGCCCAGCCAGGTTGAGATTGCCTCAACAGATACTTCAATACTTTTGACATTCACAATCATCAGTAAGGCGCTGCGTGGGAAAGACCATGATCATCCCAGCATTAACAAAATACATCATGCGCTGAAAATTCTACCACATGTTGGGCCTGCTCAAGAGCTCTCTGGGCCGGTCAGAGAGATAAAATGACACTTGAATAGGCAGTGGCCAATGGAAAGTACGTATCTATGTACCCCCCCCCCCCCCCTGCATCAACTGCAAGGGCACAATGCCTACAGAACCAATGCTGCACGCTACATCGAGTTTGCCCCCTGTCGCTACTAGTCGCCCAGTCCAACCTCTGTGATTGGTCCTCCACGGATCAATCACTCGTCAATCGAAGGAGCTTCCTGGCAAAACGGTCTACCCACCACTGTGGCTCCCTGCCTGCGAACTTGGCATAAGGGCTTATGCGACCCATCCTTCGAACGAAAAGCATATATTTATATTCCATATCTGACATCTTCACATTGGTCATCTGGCAAAAGCACTTGTGCTGCGTGAGGCGCCAAACACGATTACTGACTGGAAGAATAAATCTCCAGTGTGTCCAAGGGTCGTGGCTTGCGTCCTGCTAAAACTACAATGCAGCATGATATCGGTGACGCAGAGCAACGGATGCAAGATATTGTCCGTGCGCAGGGCCGGCTGTCGAAGAAGGATGGCAGGATGATTAGCAGTGGGACCAACGAATTTCAAATTGCATCAGGCGCTTCCTTGGTTCACTCGTCCATAGCTATCGGTTGTAGTCAGACAGCATGATTTTCAGCTTCTCTTCCATAGCATACACTCGACACAAGCGACGTTGTACTGATCATGAAATCCTATTTTACACCAAGAATGCAAAGATAAACGGCCGGGTCATCTGATCCTTGTCGGGCCATGAAGATGGGCAAATCACATCTACCGATGGATAGTACCGCATAGAGAGAAGAAATGTGCGACAGCTTTTCAACAAAGATGTAAAGTTCAATATCAAACTTGATAGCGAGAGGTGAACTCCTCCAGTTCTCCTGGAACTAGTCTTTCCTAGGCGGACATTCAAGCTTATAGACTTCCGAAGGAAGGTAGCCGTTCCTTCTAGCCCTGAGTACATTTTAGTAAAACAATTTTAATTCCGAATGTTCGTACACCAAGTGAAGAGAGATCAGACCCATGCAATATCACTAATTATGGATTCATCAATGAAAGGTCTGTATTGTGTCAAGCGTCCGTTTCAGGCAAAAAAGAAAGAAAACCAGAGCATAGTAAGCATCGAGCTAAGAATTGACGATATCAACCTGATACAAGTAATATCAGTTTGGGACGTCTGGCGAGGGAATGACGAGAATAGTGGGAAAATACACACACCTTTGCAAATTTCTGCCCTTGAGATAAAACAACGAGGCAAGACTGCAGACCCTTCAAACACCACTGCCTTTCAAGCCAGGAGAGGAGATAACGATTCCAGAAAGGCTGGAATACATTATTGAGCTTGTGATTCGGAGCCCGCAAGAGATGGACGGCCCAGTTTTGACAGGCATACTTGAGAGCATTGGAAACTGATCGACATTGTTCCCGAGCTTTGTTTGCGAAAGTGATAAAGGCATTCATAACACGAATGATCTCCCTGCCGGATGACAGAAACTCTTCTGGTAATGTAGAGTTGGAATGGTCCTGGTGCATTAATGCCAGGAACGTCGGATACATCAAGAAATCTGGCAAACTCTGGAACTGTTGGACTACTTGGAAAGCTGGCAGTGATAGCAATTCTGGACAAATGGTGTACTCGCTCATAGCTTGCAGCACGCTCGAGAATTCTTCCATGGTCACCCAGACAGACGCTGCAGGAGTGGATTGCCATGTTTGTCCATGGTGTGTTTGCAGCCAGTCTCGCCCACGCAGGGTCTGCAACCACGCTCGCCCGCCCGGGGTCTGCAGCCAGTCTTGCCCGAGCTGGAGATGCAGCCAGTCATGCCCGGGCTGGGTCTGCAGCCAGTCTTGCCCATGTTGGGTCTGCACCCAGTCTTGCCTGGGCTGGGTCTGCAGCCAGTCTTGCCTGCGTTGGGTCTGCACCCAGTCTTTCCCCATGCTGGGGTCTGCAGCCATTGTTGCCTGCGTCGGGTTTGCACCCAGTCTTGCCCGTGTTGTTGTCTGCAGCCAGTGTCGCCCATATTGTGTCTGCACCCAGTTTTGCCTGCGTTCGGTTTGCGGCCAGTGTCGCCCGTGTTGGGCCTGCAACCAGTCTTGCCCGCACTGAGTTTGCACCCACTCTCGCCCGCGCTGGGTCACCAGCCAGTCTTCCCCTCCCTTGGTGTGCAACCAGTCTTCCCCCTCCCTTGGTATGCAGCCAGTCTCGTCCATGCTGACTATGCCAGCCAGCCTCTCATGTGCTTGCTCTGCAGCAAGTTTCGCCCGCGCGGAGTCTGTAGCCAGTCATGCCCACGCTCAGTCTGCAGCCAGTCTTGCCCATGCGGGGTCTGCACCCAATCTGCCCGCACCGCATATCCAGCCAGTCTTCAACTCCCTTGGTATGCAACCAGTCCCTCCCCTCCCGGCCAGCATCGCCCTCCCCGGGTCAGCCAGGTGTTGGCCCTCCCAAGTCTGCAGCCAGTTTTCCTCCCGCGCGTGGTCTGCAGCCAGTCTCTCCCGCGCGTGGTCTGCAGCCAGTCTCTTCCCCGCGCTTGGTCTGCAGCCAGTCCTCGCCCGTGCTGGGTCTGTAACCAGTCTTTCCCGTGTTGGGTCTGCAGCCAGTCTTGCCACCCTGGGTCTGCAGCCAGTCTTGCCCGCGCTGGGTTTGCAGCCAGTCACACAAGTGCGGGGTCTGCAGCCAGTCTCTCGTGTGCGGGGTCTTCAGCCAGTGTTGCCCACACTGGGTCTGCAGCCAGTCTTTGTCTGCACTGTGTCTGCAGCCAGTGTTGCCCGCGCTGGGTCTGCAACCAGTCTCGCCCATGCGGGGTCTGCACCCAGTCGTACTCACGCAGCGTCTGAAAAGACTGGATTCGCAGCCACTCTTGCCAAGGCTGGGTCCGCAGCCACTCTTGCCCGCACTGGGTCCACAGCCATTCTTTCCCAGGCTGGGTCCACAGCCAGAGTCGCCCGTGCCAGGTCCTCAGCCAGTTTTTCCCAGGCTGGATCTGCAGCCATTCTTTCCCGCGCTCAGTCTGCAGCCATTCTTCCCTTCCTTTGGTTTGCAACCACTCTCGTCCAGGTTGGGTCCGCAGCCAGTCTTGCCTGTGCTGTGTCTGCAGCCAATCTTGCCCGTGCTGTGTCTGCAGCCAGTCTCGCCTGCTCAGGGCCTGCAGCCAGTCTCGCCCCCCCCCCCCCCGAGGTCTGCAGCCAGTCTCGTCCACTCTGGGTTGCAAGCCAGGGCTTTCCTGTGTGATGTTTTGCAGCTGCTTTCGCCCTTGCTGGGTCTTCAGCCAGTCTTGCCCAAGCAGTGTCTCCAGCCAGTCCCGCCCACACTGGGTCCCCAGCCAGTCTTGCCCCGCCTGGGGCCTGCAACCAGGCTTTCCCACCTCTGCTCTGCAGCCAGTCTCGTACAGGCGGGGTCTCCAGCCAAGCTCGCCCAGGCAGTGTCTCCAGCCACACTTGCACGGGCAAGGTCTGCAGCCATGCTCGCACACCCGGAATTTGCAGCCAGGCTCGCATGCCCGGGGTCTCCAGCCAGACTCGTCTGCGCGGGGTCCACAGCCATTCTCGCCCACCCTGTGCCCGCAGCCATCCTTGCCCTCCTTCTGTCCGCAGCCAACCTCAACCGCTCCTGCTCTGCAGCCAATCTCGCCCACTCCTGGACTGCAACCACTCTTGTCCTCCAGAGATCTGCAACCACTCTTGCCCTCCTTGCGTCTGCAACCAGATGCGCCCGACCAGGGCCTCTAGCCAGCATTTCCCTTCTTCGGTCTCCAACCAGGTACATCCTTCCAGGGTCTTTAGTTTGTCTTGCCTAGTAATCTCGGTTGGCAGCTGGGCACCCTCAATTGGGGATTCTGGTATGTCTTGCCTGCCCATGGTCGAGTATGTGGGCAGAAATAATTGCAATCTTGTCTTATAGTGTCGCAGCCAGTCTCTCATTTGTCGCCGGAATTTCCATTTCGAAGTCTGCTCCCACTTTTCCCCTTCCCGGGTCTGCAGCCAGTCTTGTCCTCCTTGCGTATCCAGCCACTTTTCTCCTCCTGGGGTGCTCAGCCAGTCATCTCCTCCTTGGGTCTGCAGCCAGCCACGCCCGTCCAGGGTCTCTATCCAGGATAGTAAATCCGATCTGCGATCTCCCCGAAGCCATAGCATGGCCAAAAGAACTGACAGTGGCTCCGGTGGCTGAAGGAGGAACGCTAGTGAGTCTTTTAATTTATGGGGGTCCTCAGGTTTCATAGCTTGGCTCTGCTTCTTCAGTTCTGAGAGTGCATCTAAGAGGGCCGTGCTTTCTGGAATCTCTTTCATCATCAAGCGAAGAGCGGAGCCAGCGAGTAGAGAGTGGACTGTGGACATATCGCGTGCATCAGGGAAACTGCAATTTGAGGGGTAGGAAACGTAGTCGCGAACGGATGAGTGATAGATGTTCACGGGGAGACTGGGGTCGATGGGAATATCCAAGACAGATCGTAGCTGCACTAGCGTTGTCTCCACATCCCTACCCAAACCAGGGCCAAGAAGTTTCGAAATTTGTGAAAGTGGCAAAGGGTCTGCGAGGGCGGCGACAATAGACAAGTGCATGTAAGCACGCTTGGGGTTGGCACACGTGGAGAGGATACGGTCGTATAACTTGTACACCTCCGTTCCTGGTAGCAGCTCGCTCGTTAGCTTGAGCATCAGCTGTAACCGATCATAGGGATCACTGTCTTCATCGTCGATAATAAAGTTCATCATCGTAGACGCCACGATGAAACGTCTGCCCGCTCGACTCGCCAGCTTCGCAAGGTCATCCTTTGATGGCTGCGGGAAATCGGGATGGCGACATTCCAGCTCTTTGAAGGAATGCCGCAAGAAAGTACAGATGTCGTTGTCAACGTCTGCGCCGTCTAACGAGATGATGCCACGGGCCTCCCCAGAAGTTCTCACGGGTATCTCGCGCACCAACGGGCGCACCTCGTCGTTCTGAAAGACTTTGCTAATATGCGATTCCGAGCGACTTGTGAGGAGAATGTGGGTCACAGGTAGATCAGGCTCACGAAGAGCCCGTGCAAGGGAAAGGATGAGTTCAGTAAGCTCGGGTTTGGATGTGCATTCATCAAGAGCATCGATGACAAACGACAAAGGCCAACACCCACGTAATCTGGGTTGGAGTTTACGGAGAGGTCGGAGAAAGAGAGCCTCCATCTGGTCGCAGATAGGTGTATCTGGATCTAGTAGAGCGGGATTGTCGTGAATAATTCTGCTCACATACTTCTGGATGCTTGGAAAATTGGTGGCAAGCTGGTAGACAAGTGTCACAAAGAAATATTCAGCCATTGTGGGTATCACAACCTGGCAGGCACATATAAGAAAAGTGCTCAGCCAGTATAAGTGAGTCTCAGCTCTGCCTAGCTGCTATACTTGCAGAATGCAAGAATGTTCGACCCTAAAGGGGAAGCAAGGAAAGCAAGGATCCACAGAATGATGCTGAACAACCCTGGTGAATGGCAGTGAAAGCGCGAGAAACGTGCTGAAGGCGCGCGCGGGAAAGCGAAGTGCGAAAGTGCGCGAAGTGCGGGAAGGTAGTGCAGGCGGTGCACAAATGTAGAAGACGGATACTGAGACTGATAAGAGGAAAAGTGCGGATCTAGACGGATACTGACAGTGCCACTAGCTATAGACTGATGCTAGGGCCTCAAGACGATGATGGACACATGCATTGCATGGAACTAACTGGTGATAGATACTGAGTGGTAGGAAGATAAGGTGCCAAAAGTTTGGGGTGTAAAACGAACATGGAAGTATGTAAGTTCTACCTAAGCGCTCTCCCAGGGCTCGGAGCCAATTAGGGAGCGCTCTAAGTATGTAAATGAGGTAAAGTGATGTAAAGTAAGGGTCCATGATGAAATAGGAAGTGTAATATGCCAAATATGGTCAGATAATGAAAGGGACATACCGAGGGACTGGTTGGACGATGGATGGATGCTCCTGGATGATGTGCGACGCAGTGCGCTTAAGCACGAGAAAGCGCGCAAGGCACGCACGTGGGAATACTGCGTGTTGTGCGGGAAAGTATCGCACCTATGGCGCGTTTCACAGGAAGTGGTGCACTCCATGGGAAGTCATAGTGGATGATAGTGCGAGTCGTGCCATGAAGGCCAGTTGTCAGAATTCGTAAAATGAGCCCATATGAGCCCACAGAAACGCGAGTCTCTACACCGTGCAATGTTTTGTGTGCTTGCACGAGAAAAAGAACGTCCCCACTAGCCGCTTTTCGACGTTCATCTCTTCTGTCACTTTCAGACCTCTCATCCTCTCAGCTACCGTGAACGCAACAGCAGACTTTCCAACGCCTGCCGTGCCATGTAGCCAAACAAGCTGATTATCCTCTGTGTCGTCCAGGAATCTGTGAATGTATTTGAGGAAATCTACCCAGGTCCCTTGCAGACATTTCGGGTGGGGCAGACGTTCACAGGAGTTATATTGAGCACCCTTGACAGCGACCTCGGACAACTTCGCCCAGGATCCTTGAAGAACTGTCAAAAAGGTCAGAGAGCATGCGAGAGATAAGAGATGGAAGTACTGACATTGATTGTCACTCATTGACGAAGGTTGTGATATGCGAGATGCAAGAAATCAATTGAAAGTACTAAGTAGTTGGGTCGAGGGTGTGGTTAGAAATAATCTTGGCGATAGTTTGGGAGGGATGACATATGACAATTTGAATCAAAGCTTGTAAGTTGTGATTAGGTCGTGGAACGATCCAGCTGTCGATTGATGGAGAATGCGAAGCTGGGATGGACGGATGGATGTTTCAATCTATGCTGCTATGGAAAGCTCGCTGGATGGTTGTGGAATGCAGTTGAAGAACGAGTAGGCGCTTGCCGTCCAGTGCTTGCAGGAGGACACGAGGCTGCTGTGCAGCCACAGTACTTACTACCAGAACCACGCAGATTACTTAGGCTCTGCGCTACCTGAGTAGGATATATTGCGTCCATTCTTTGATAGACACCCGATCTCATCGCAAGTTGTGCAATGGGCTTGCTTGTGTCTCTCAGTTGTGAGAAATGGATAAATCGTTGCGCTAGAAATAATATTGTGATTGCTGCAGCAACTTGAAGCAGCAACGGTGCGCAAAACCAGTACTGTGTACGTGAACGTCGTGAAGGCATTTCGCGGTCAGGTTGGAGCTTCCTTTCTTAGTCAGGCGTCACCGGTTAACTGGCACTGACGGCGTCATCTCCACCCTTGGCAGCACTTTGACGATGTTCCCACAGTATGTAAGACCCTATTTTTATGTTGTAGACAAGTAGTCTGTGAGACCTCATCTCTCACGAGGTCCCTCCCTTAGTTCCAGGTTTTCTTGCGGCTCTCCCTCACGAGCATCGCTACCCGATGTTTGGGGAGGGTGGGTTTGAAGTCTCCTCGATGCTTGCTCTTGAGCCTCTACACAACAACATCTCCGGATGGTATCACTGCCTGATGATGATCATCTCCGTATGTTGCTTGCAATGTCGAACATCGCAAGCAACATACGGAGATGATCAGGCGAGTGTGATGGTGGATGTCTTTGTAATCCTCTAGAGGCATGTTTTGTTCCCATGATACTTCCATCAAATGTTTTTCCATTTTTTTCCTGTTCATCCTCTTGCTTGTTCCGGCATTATTCAGACACACAAGTATGCATTGATCAGTATACAGTAGATACAATGGCACTCATAAAGACATCAACGGGCAGAAAGGTCGGACGCAAGGCCTCGCAGTGTAGTTACATGATGATAGATTACTCAATATATGCATGGGGGAGGGACTCAGTCGATTGCGACTGGGCAGATAATCGCAAATTGAGGTCTGGGAGTCTAAGGAGCTCGTCCTCCATCCTCGAAGTCCTTAGGATACTCATTAGGATACTCACACCCGTATCCGTGCTGATATCTGCCTCCTGTGCCAAAATATGCACCGCTTGGAGGGTGCCAATAGCTCTTGACATAACTGTCATATCCATCTCGAGATTTGTGGTATGGAGCATCATGATACCCACCATTGTGATACTGAGGTTGAGGGCCATGAGAGGGTTGACGAGGCGGTGAAGGATCTTCAACTCAGCTGAGGGTGCAGCTGATATAATTGTTGAAGGGAGGAAAATATGAGTGCGATATGTTCGTCCCTTAGGGGAAGCGGAGAAAGCAAATATCCACTGGTCAACTCTAGGGGGAATGCGCAAAGCGCGTGATAAGGCGAAAGCGCGGGAACAAAGGCGCTATAGGCGCGCGAAGCGCGGGAAAGTCGCGCGTCGAAAAGCGGAACTGGGTGAAAGCGGTATGCGAGCGATAGTGAGATGTTAAGACGTGTACTGAGATGCTGATAAGACAACTGATGCGGATATGGCCACTAGAGCTAACTGCTACTAGGGCTTGCGATGATTTATTCAAAACATAATAAAAACTCGGAGATGGTGACTGTCTATGATGATGGTGGTCCCTGGTAATGTGTGTTGTCTAAAGTAAAAATGTGTAATGAAAAATGTGTACCAAGTGAAAATAAACATGGTACGATGTTGAAATAAATGATAAATGGAGAAATGCATACCTGGGAACTTGGTTGGACATGGGAAAACGCAGTGGGAAGTCAGGTGCCCTATAGCGCTTAGGCGCGGGAAAGTTCACCTAAAGCGCGCGCAAGTCGCGGAAGTGTCGCCTATGTCGCGTGCGTCGCGCGAACATCGCGTTTATTGCGCAAGTGTTGCATTGCATGCATATTACTGTAGACTCGACCTATGTTGCAATATATGCCATTGTGAGGCTACTCAGGATCGAGTCTCTACAGCGGGGCATGAGAGGGCTGATGAGAACGAGGCTGAGGGGCATGAGGGAGCTGTGGAGCATGAGGCATAGTACGAGGATCATGGTAATAGTCGGACTGGGGGTACTGAGTGAAGCCTGGTCCATAGCGCGGCAGTATTGGACCTCTTTGGCATGGGTCATACATTGGTCTGACCTCTGGATCATGCACCCGCATCATGGTATGATTCTCAGCATTGAAATCTCCATCAGTAGACGTGGCTGGCAGCTCAGGCTCAGTACGCCGTTCATGATGTGATCGCGGCACTTCCATTGCAGGTTCACTGCGCCTGTGATGAGCTGCTAAAGTTGGCAGGAGGTCAGGCTGCAGAGATGGAGGACGGTCTGTGCGGATGGGGTCTGCAAGCATGGTGTTGTCCTGGCTTGCTGCACGAGTTGTAGGATCTGCATGGACGGGGTCTGTGCACGAGGTGTTGCTGGCCACATGAGTAGCAGGCTCTATCCGGACAGCGTTGTTGCCTTGCTTCATCGCCAGAGTAGCAGTGTTGGTATGAATAGAATTTTCTGGGAGGGAATGTGCTTGCTGATGATTTTGCGAAGGGGACGAAGGTGGCAATGAGTGCGCAGGCACACTATCGGCATGGCCAGTGTTGCCTGCGGGTGCCTCTCTAGTGACCCTGACAGTGGTGCTTTGACCAGCAGCAGCAGCAGGCTTGGTCCTCACGGGTGCCTCTACAGAGCCTCTGGCAGTGGCATCGGCGTCATTCGGTCCCATGCTGGCCTTTGGGACCTCTAAGATTCACGTTGTCAGTTCACAGGTATGAGCCTGATGAATGCCACACAAAAATTACCTTGAGCTGTGGGGCCATCATGCAAGCGTTTAGCGGTTTGTATTACTGCATGGCATCATGTTAGTACCATTGCAGCATGTTAACAAATACAAAACCTCACCTCGCACAGGCATGTCTGGAGCCTCCTCCTCATCCGAGGACTCGATAGCGAATGGTTGTTTCCTCTTCTCAGCGTGTACCTTGCCTTTCCCCTTCATGCTCTTTGAATGTCCTATCTTTGGCAAAGAGGCTTCGGAAGGTGGAGTCCTCTTCTTCGATGCTCGCGAAGTGACCTCTGACTTCGCCTTTCGCTTCTTAGATGGGGCAGAGTCGTTTTCATAGTCAGAGTCATTCTTGACTCCGTCATCATCATCAGGCTGCTCAGAGTCAGAGCGAGGATTGCTGAGATTGCTGGACATAGGAGATACGACCTCCTTCAAATTTTTCTTGATTATCTTCTTCTCGTCCTTCTTCTGGCTCTTTGGGGGTCTCACTACCTTGAATTCGCGTGAGGGAGGAGGTTTAAGAATGGGGCGGACAGTAGAGGGATTTGTATCTGAATCGTTGTCACCAGAGTCATGATCGTCAGGGAGAGGGGTTGGAGAAGTGTGCGATGCTTCAGAAACTTTCTTGATCCGCATAGTACCTGCCTTCAAGGCCGCAACAAAGATCCTGGTCTCCTTCAGAGTCAAATTAGCTATTCCTTTGTTTGCAGTGGTATGAAATTCGCCGGGGAGCAACACATCCTCTGGATATCCCTTGATGACCATCCCAAGACGAATGAGCTCCGCTGGAAACGTCTTCCATGGAAAGTTCCTCTTGGATGATAGTTGACCTCCCAGGTGCTCTGTCATTTACCGTCAGTGAATGAATGATCGACCAAATGTACTGAGGCAATACCAATTTGTCAAGCTAACTCTTGCTTGATCCACAGGATTCCATTCTTTGAAATATCTAGACACTCTCTGGTTGTCCCTTCGGTTATCGGAGCCTCGGTGTAGAGACTCGATCCTGGGTAGCCTCACAATGGCATATATTGCAACATAGGTCGAGTCTACAGTAATATGCATGCAATGCAACACTTGCGCAATAAACGCGATGTTCGCGCGACGCACGCGACATAGGCGACACTTCCGCGACTTGCGCGCGCTTTAGGTGAACTTTCCCGCGCCTAAGCGCTATAGGGCACCTGACTTCCCACTGCGTTTTCCCATGTCCAACCAAGTTCCCAGGTATGCATTTCTCCATTTATCATTTATTTCAACATCGTACCATGTTTATTTTCACTTGGTACACATTTTTCATTACACATTTTTACTTTAGACAACACACATTACCAGGGACCACCATCATCATAGACAGTCACCATCTCCGAGTTTTTATTATGTTTTGAATAAATCATCGCAAGCCCTAGTAGCAGTTAGCTCTAGTGGCCATATCCGCATCAGTTGTCTTATCAGCATCTCAGTACACGTCTTAACATCTCACTATCGCTCGCATACCGCTTTCACCCAGTTCCGCTTTTCGACGCGCGACTTTCCCGCGCTTCGCGCGCCTATAGCGCCTTTGTTCCCGCGCTTTCGCCTTATCACGCGCTTTGCGCATTCCCCCTAGAGTTGACCAGTGGATATTTGCTTTCTCCGCTTCCCCTAAGGGACGAACATATCGCACTCATATTTTCCTCCCTTCAACAATTATATCAGCTGCACCCTCAGCTGAGTTGAAGATCCTTCATCGGACTGGTTGTGTTGGACAATAATGGCTTCATCCTTGAAGGCTTCTTCAACGACACCCAGAGACGTTAGGTTACTTATATCAATGCTCAGCATGAATTCTCAATGAAATACATCAGTGCTTACTATACTTGGGCTTTGAGATGGCCAATGATGGTATCATCATCAGCTTTACAGCGTGTCAGCCAAAACTACAAGAGGGGGTCGTCAGATCATGCCCTCATAGTGCAAAAACAACCTTACACCTTCAGCTCCAGCCGTTGTATGGGCCATACCCAGAGAACCGTCCTGATTGACGACTTTCCCACATGTTACCAGTGCACCCTCGAACCCGAAACGAGCAGCAGCAATATCCATCTGTGCGATGTCAGAAACACAACATTAAGAAATCAAAGAATTGGACATACCATGGCCGAGACCTTCTTGCCAAACTTATGAAACTCCTGGGCCCGCATGGCAACTGTCTGCGGCGCACCCATGAGCATCGCGGCCTCCTCATGATACTCAAGAATTGTTTGCCAGGAGTCCGGATATTCCTTTTTAAACAGCTCGTAACAATTGCGACGCACAGTCACACCTTAAAATTCACTAAATTAGAAAGACGACATCGAACAAAATCAAGAAATATTCACTTGGCGTGCCAGGACCCTCGGGAGCCATGTTGCCAAGTCTCTTCAGTTCCTGCTGGGGATTTGCCTTGAAGTAGCTGCTGTAAGCATTCCAGTGGTTGACGTTGGTGAAGGAACACCCGTTGCTCTTGTGCCATAAAGCAATGACTTGATGGGTGGGAATGAAGGTGTCGTGGCTCATGTCGCGAATAACAGTTTCGAGCTTCATGAAGCCCTCTTGGAGTAAGGCATTTGCAATGTCTTGCCTTCGACCCTTTACCGCAGGGACAATATGACCTCCATTGTCCATGGCCATGTTGACCACATCATCCTCCCCCATGTTGAACCCATAATCCATAGGAATTGAATCGGGATAAGGCGTATCCCAGTCTCCAACAATGGGGGTTGGAGGGATAATTCGTGTGTGAGGGACTGCAGGAGGGACTACAGGAAGCGTTGTCAATGGTCCAGCTATAGGAACACTATCAACATTGCCATTCAAGCCACTGAAGTCGATACCATGGAAGTCGTACTCCTCTGGCACAAAGGCAGGTGTAGTGAACAAGTTTGGCCGTGGAGGCTCGTGGGAGTGGGAAGGGGAAGGGGTAATCTGAGGAGCTTCATAAAATAGATCTTCGACTGGTTGAACTGGCTGAAACGGCACAGAGGGTTGTTGGGGTGCAGGTTGAACAGGCTGAAGTGGGACAGAAGACTGTCGGGGCGCAAGTTGGCCAGGCTGAAGGGGGACAGAAGGCTGTCGGGATGCACGTTGGCCAGGCTGAAGGGGGACAGAAGGCTGTCGGGGCGCAGCCTGAAGCTGATTCCGAGTGTCGACAAGTGAAAGCTCCAAGTCCTCTGAGGTTGGCTTGACAAGCCTTGCCCGACGCATAGATGCCTCCTTGACCAAGCCTCCATTGCGGTTGGTGGCTTTGATGTGAGTCCGGATTTTTGTTGGAGTTTCGATGACAGGAGTCGGCTGACGCCTTCCCCCCACCGATTTGCTCTTCAAAGAATTCTTCACTGTCAGCCGTGTGTGACGCTCAGCATGCAGGGAGGAGGTGGAGTAGTCAGGAGGCGGAGTTTTCCGCATGTCTATGGATGATTTTTGAGTCATAGCTAGGGGGATAGGTTAACGATAGCTGGTTCTAATTATCAAGACTTTACCTGTCAAGGAGTCACCAAACACAAGATTTTCGCAGTTACAGAGGTCTATTTTCTACAGAGAGGGTTAAACTACAAGGCTAAAGCGCAAGGAGGCATTGAAACTCACAGATGAACGCGTACTGAGACGATTCAAACACAAGATTTGACAAGATATTTGAGGTTCAGCGGTTTGTTTGTCTGGCAGAGGGTTAGGCAGTAAATCTAGAACGTGATGAGAAAAATCACAGATCAACGTACTGAGATGATCTGAACTGTGGTCTGGTTGAAATTTTTGGAGAGCTGTAAGATGCGTAGAGGCAGGAGAGGTCGCATGGACGCCATCTGCCTCAATTTGCATAAGGTTCAATGAAGAGATCCGCTGTTTGAAGACAGAAGTTGACCGAAGTTGGGAACTCCGTGATCGACGAGAAAAACTCACATATGGTATTCCAGAGGCTGGTCGTTAGGCAAGAGCATCGCCAGAGCCTCTCAGGATGTTTGAGCAGGATGTTTGAGATTGAGTTCTGCATGGTTCCAAGTTCGGATTACTAGTTCATCAATGAGATTTGTGTTACTTTGCAGTCTTGTAAGTAGCTAGTGACAAAATTACTTTGCTACATATAAATTCAGCAAGTCTGGCACAATAGGGTACTTGACACAGTGGCCATCATCAGTCCCACAGCAGCCCGAATGACCGTACATCGTACGAGCACGTCTTGGATTCAGCCATGCCCACCACATCCAGCTCACTAGCATCTGAAGATCAATCCACCATCATCAACTTTTCAACTAGATCACAGATATGAGTATAACTTACCTCTTGACATTCTTTTTCTGCTGAAAATATCTCCGTCTTCTGCATTTCAGTCAACTCCAAGTCCGGCTCGAGATCAGGTCATAGCACATCTTTCTCAGGCCATATCTCCAACTATCCTTCCAATAGCTCGGCCTTGAATGCTTCAGGCATTTGGATAGGGAGGAGGCGGAATTTGGTTAAAAGAGGCATTAACCACGCATGCTGGTCGCGTGTTGGCTGCCAATGTTCTGGCATCTGTTAACAATGATATCAAGTCAAGCTCTTGATGAAGTATCAAATGTACCTCTGTTTTTTTGCGTGAGCAAGAGTATGAAGTATGCGCACTTGAGAGAGAGGTCGCATGGATGCGACTGCCTCTACATATGGACCACGCGGAGCTGGAACAGTTGGCTGACAGGATCCGCTGCTTCCTGGAAGGTCGCATGGATGCACCCTGATTCTCTAAAGCTGAAAGGTTTTGAAATGCGATCTGCTGCTTAAACAGAAGTTAGGCACTTGTGGGATCAGCGCTAAAAACACCTGGGATGCGCTCACATATGGCATTTCAAGAAGGCCGCTGGCTAGGCGGGAGCATCATCAGAACATCTCCAGACATTGGAGGCTAAGCTAGTGAGGCTTGTAAGATGTATCGGGGCAGGAAATGAAGGTCGCATGGATGCACCCTGGTTCTCTTGGAGCTGAAAGGTTTTCGGTTTGTGGTGATAGTAGATTTGAACGTCAAAATTGGACGCCTAATAGAAGTTAGGAATTTGTGAGATCAGCACTAAAAACATCTGAGATATGCTCACATATTTCAAGAAGGTCACTGGTTAGGCATGAGCATTGAGTAGCTAGACTACTGCAGAGAGGTCAGTACAGGAGAGGTGCAGGTCTGGCATGAGCATCGACTAGCATGAGTCTGGACTGAGCATGTGATCTGGCAAAAGCCGAAAGCACGAACTTTTGGGAGATTGAGGATCAAGCCTTTGGAGTGTGGTCGGTCTGAAAGGGTCCGAAAGAAACATGAGTCCAGAGGCGCCGATTCTCAGACAAGCACATGTTCTGGAAGATCTTCATATGGTGAGCTTACAAAGGCCTTATTTTACATGTTAAAGGACTCTGAAACAGTCAATGACTCAATTTGATGCATGAGAAATTGAACTTCAACATCAACATTGGCGCCCATGCATGCGTGAGAATTTGTACTCGATGTTAGATTCCAGTTTCACTGTTCCTGTCAGGACATCAATGAGGTGTATGTATGCCGACTCCTGGATCTTTTGAGGGGCGCTTCTACTAATTACAAAGGTGCTTCTCCAAACCCATCGCTATTGATTCGGGACATCAATGAGGCATATGTATGCCGACTTCTGGTTCTTTTGAGGGGTGCTTATACTGCTTCTCCAAACCCATCGCTATTGATCCCACCCTACCCTATCAATTAAATCCTCTGCTATCAATGAGATGCTCGGTTGAACCTTTTTGGCCACCTCTTGCCAACTTGCCACATCAAATTTCTCAATGGATTTCACCAGGTTCAACTACTAACTGGACCGCTCGCATCCAAGCATGGAGTACCCGCCCAGAAAGTCTTAGAGGAGTTCTAGTTCCTGTCGGGACATCAATGAGGCGTATGTATGCAGACTCCTGGTTCTTTTGAGGGGCGCTTCTACTAATTACAAAGGTGCTTCTCCAAACCCATCGCTATTGATTCGGGACATCAATGAGGTGTATGTATGCCGACTTCTGGTTCTTTTGAGGGGCGCTTCTACTGCTTCTCCAAATCCATCACTATTGATCCCACCCACTATCGATTAAATCCTCTGCTATTAATGAGATGCTCAGTTGAACCTCTTTGGCCACCTCTTGCCAACTTGCCACATCAAATTTCTCAATGGATTTAACCAGGCTCAACTACCAACTGGACCGCCTCGCATCCAAGCATGGATTACCCGTCCAGAAAATCTTAGAGGAGTGGCTTGAGACACGCCAAAACATTGATGATGAGGATTGGAGGCAGATGGATGGCATACCATGCATCATGGGCGGGTTGACTGCGCTATGTGGTGAGTTCTACTATTTTTGAGCATACTGTGTGATTGCTAGATATGTTGCAGGCAGACTCGATGAGCGGGGCAGGAACTTTGCTTGGAAGACCCTACCCGCCCTATTAGCGAAACGCAGCTGCGTCATCCACAACTATCCCGAGCACACCCTCATGCCCAGTGAAAAATGCACTGCGCTCACACGAGGCAAGGGTATCCATGATCTATCGCTTCATGAGCGTGAAGTACTTGCAAATGCCCTCAAAGACAACTCACTGACCCTTGAACACATCACCACTGATCATGCGCGCCGAAAACTTCTGGGCTTACGCGAGCCGGTCATCTATGGTGAAGCTCCAGGAGCTGAGTCGCTTTACTCACGTGGACGTCGCCAATTCTGCGATTCTCGCATTGATCGGAAAGGTCTTTCTCATCTCACTTCTCCTGCGCCTTCTCCCACACCTTCTCCCACACCTTCTCCCACACCTTCTCGTCGTCGCTATCACAGACTTCGGAGATGCCAAGTTATATCCCCAACACCTGAACCTTCTCCTGCACCTTCTCCTGCACCTTCTCCTGCACCTTCTCCTGTGCCTGCTCATCGTCAGAGACTTCGGAGATGCCAAGTAGTATCCCCAACACCATCTTCCACTTCTACTCATTGTCCCAAACACCGCATGTTCGTGGAGGTTCTGCTTCCCCCACCCTCCTGGAGGTTGACTGCTACACAGCAACCTCCCCCAATCACTCTACCTGCTGGTCAACGTCATATCAGTGAGCTCATTCCGGAGATAGTCTACCTGACACAGCATTCAACAACGACAAGGACCAGTGTCGACGAGCTTATCGCGTCCCAGGAGAACTAAGTAGCCAAAAGATGTATATCCTGTACTCTACCTTTGTGTGTATGCCCTTCTGGCAAATAAAGTTTGCTTTGAGTTGGAGCTTTTGCATCATCCGCCGAGAATTCAAACAGGGCTATGGACATCGTCTGTGAAAGGGCAAGATCTGATGGTTTTTGTGGTGCCATGGAAGGGTAAGACACAGACATCAACTGATAAGGCAAGATTTGATGTTTTTTGCGGTACTATGGAAGGGTAAGACGTGTACACCGAGTGTGCCTTGTTATGGATCTTCCTGTGAGGATCACTAGAGCACAAAAGGAGACCCTCTGGAGAGGCACCTCAGCCAATCATATCATTTATAAAACTCCTACAAAACATAAAACATGTCTACAGAGGCTTATATGCCGCAATGAATGACCACAAGGAGGTCAGAAAGGGAGCCCTTGTCAATCTGGTTCCAATGATATAGATATGTAGAGGGTTTTATTGTGTACAAGGAGCTCAATGCATGCAACTGTGATATAGTGCTGAGTAGTTCGTTGAGTTGTAAGTGTTCTAACTCGCTCAGATGTAACTTTGACGCAACCTTTCCGCTATTCAAATGGTTATGCACATGTTTCCCCAGCTAAGAGTGAATCAATTGAACATTGTATTGGCCTCCCTACTAGCTAATTCAACCACTGTGATATAGTGCTAAGTAGTTCATTGAGTTGTAAGTGTTCTAACTCGCTCAGATGTAACTTTGACGCAACCTTTCTGCTATTCAAACAGTTATGCACATGTTTCCCCAGCTAAGAGTGAATCAATTGAACATTGTATTGGCCTCCCTACTAGCTAATTCAACCAATACATATCTAGCTAGGTATCCGGTATGGCCTGTCACAAGTTCAAGTGTGTTCTTCTGTTATCCATCGGTTGCAGCTTCAAACAGGTTATCGTACTTATCATATATCTTCCTCGACATTTTTGCTTTGAGAGGATGGTAGACAAGTATGATTCTACAGTGGCTCAAAAAACTGTCCGCATGTTTTGACATTTTTCACTATCTATGATATTGTGTGAGAATGAACAAATTCCTCAAGGACATACTTATACCACATTGTAGTATGGCTTCAGGGCTTTTATTTGAGCCCTACACCGTGGGAATCGGCGGAGATATGGTGGAGATATAAGGCTTATAAAATGATGACTCATGTGGACAGTTTTTTGAGTGTATATTAAAACTATATAAATCATTATTTATGACACCATAAAAATCATGCCACTATTATATAAATTATAAAGTGGTGTCATTATGTTATTTTATGACTATATCTAACTATATAAACCAGAATATCTCATGTATCATAGTCATAATCACCATGAAAGCCATCTCCTCTGCTCAAAGAGATAATATCCTCTCTCTGTCTTATGCTGGCCTCTCTGCTCGCCAAATTTCCTCTAGAACTGGAATATGCAAGTCCACTGTGGCCAAGTTCATCAAAGAAAGCCACCCAGACAAGGAAAACTCTTGTGGAGGACGTCCATCCAAGCTTACCTCTACTGACAAAAGGGCTATTATCCAACATATCACTACAGGAAAGGCTGATAATGCTGTCCAAGCCACCCATTATATCAATTCCACCATCACTACCCCTGTCTCTTCACAAACTGTGAGGAATGTTCTCAAGGCAGCTCATCTCAAGGCAGTAACAAAGAAGAAAAAGCCTCTTCTCTCCATCAAACATAGGCAGAGAAGACTAGCCTTTGCCTTAGCTCATCAACACTGGACTGTAGAGGACTGGAAGCATGTTATATGGTCAGATGAGACCAAAATCAATAGGATTGGGTCAGATGGGAAGGTGTATGTATGGAAAAAGAAGGGAGATGGCCTAACAGACAGAGAGGTTAATGGGACTGTCAAGTTTGGAGGAGGTTCTTTAATGGTATGGGGCTGTATGGGATGGAATGGTGTGGGAATGCTTGCTGAGGTTGAGGGGAAGATGAATGCTGAGCAGTATGTGGACATTTTAAATGACCACTTGCTGCCTAGCTTGGCAGAATCAGGGATTGATGAAGAAGATATCATTTTCCAACAGGATAATGATCCCAAGCACACATCCAGAAGAGCTAGGGAATGGTTTGAAGAACATAACATCAATGTTCTTGACTGGCCAGCACAGTCTCCTGATGTCAATGTCATTGAACATCTCTGGGGAACACTCAAGAAAAAGCTTCAAGCCTATGAAAACCCCCCTAAAGGAGTATGGGAGCTTTGGGAGAGAGTAGCAGTGGAATGGGGGAAGATCACAGCTGAGGATTGCCAGAAATTAATTGAGAGTATGCCTAGAAGGATAGAGGCAGTAATTAAAGCCAAGGGAGGTCATACAAAATACTAGAATACCTGGTTATTACTGTAAAATACTTGAGTCAAAAAACTGTCCGCATGAGTTACTATTTTGTGAGCCTTGTATCTCCACCATATCTCCACCGATTCCCACGGTGTAGGGCTCAAATGAAAGCCCTGAAGCCATACTACAATGTGGTATAAGCATGTTTTTGAGGCATTTGTTTGTTCTCACACAATATTATAGATAGTGAAAAATGCCAAAACATACGGACGGTTTTTTGAGCCACTGTATATCATGAAACTGATATTCTAACTACAAGTGAATGTATATAATGTCTGAAAGCTATCATATCGTCCTCGCGCATGCCTGTACTGTGTGCTCCTCGTAACACTGCTGCAATCGCTGCGAGCACCCACAGCCCACAGTCATAGCCATTTGTCTGTAATGGCTGGACTACTAGCGGGCAAGCTACCCAGCCTTTGATGTCAATAAGATCTGAGCCATGATGATCATGGGCAATAGACGATAATCGGGCGATAAGTTTCATTGTGAAATCGACATAGCGTGATTGAAAGTAATACTGACCTTGACATCATTCTTCCATGGTTGTCTATCTGTGAGACTATCAAAGAGGTGCAGTTCCTTTGTTGATGTGTAGACTGCACAAAACACCCAATGTCCAACAGGAGAGGGCCGATGGATGGGTAGAAGCCACAGATCTTTCTCCCAATATGACATCCATGACATATTCCGCCATAGTATATCATCAGACGTGTTATATTGAATGCGAGGAAGATCGTGTGTCGAGAGAATGGCACAAGGATGGAAATGCGAGAAAGTCAGTATCTCAGAGTAGAGCAGTGCAGCGCCACCATTGACACACATATCATTGAGGCGAGCGGTGGGCTGTGCAAGTATAGACATATCCCTTGACTCAAATACTTGAAGAGGAAAGCCATCTTGTGCTGGTCACACGCGAGTTTGGGGGTTGCCTTTCGTAGGTATGATGGGATTCTCCTCAGGGCGAGGACATTTGAAACTGTCCTTCCGAAGATCCTATAAAATTTAATGAGTATGGCTACCTATGCAAGATATGAGAACTTACCTCTGGGAGCTTCCAGGTAATGACGAATTCAGGTTCTCCTATGGAAGAGGCATCCTCGTCATCGTCGTCGTCATCAATGGCACCATCTTGGAAAAGATCCGAGAGTGCGGCTTGTTCGGGAGCTTCTTCAGATGCATATGGAATGGGTTCTTCACTGGTGTATTCTTCGGGGGTGGGATCGGCAAGCATCAGCGAGGTGGGTATGAGTGAGTAGGCAGCAGCTGTTAATGATCCCTGGCTCCCAGAAAGATCAATGGCGAGTTTGAGTGCTGCACTGCCATTGCTAGTGAAGCGAGTAGAGGACGCTAATGGGGTAACCCATTGAGTCTGTAGCTGAAGGACGTGATCACGACGTTGCTGGATTGTGAACAAGAAGGTTTGGTCTTCTCAAATCAGCACTGATCATTCATGTGTAAGATAACTTACTTGAAGGCGAGCGCAGAGCAAGCTCAAGCGCTGCCAATTCATCTCCAAACCATCGACAGAGATTGTCGGCCTCAAGCCCAAGGCGATGTTGTTCTTCCTGACACTGATCCCATTTCAACATTGCTCGTATCCCATCTCTGACATCCACATCTTCGATCCAACGGGGAACATTACCTACTGATGGGGTAATCCAAACATCTTCCATCAATGTGTGGTCGTTTCGAAGGTCTGCGAGCTTGGTAGGAAGAGGTGGAGGAAGTGGAACACCCCAAGCCAGATCACAGAGGCTCTCCAGATGCTCGCAATATGAGTTGAATTTACGAATCGAGGTCATTAGCGCTGGCTGGCGCTTCACGATGGCTTTACATGTCTGTTGATGGAGTTTTGTACCTTTCAAGAGAGTATTAGTGTCCTGATGGTTCGAGATTGGACTATACACTTTACCAAGGGCCTGATTGGCACCACCAATGGCACGGTCAAGTTTGTCCCACTCGAAAAAGCTCCCTATGGCTCTCTTCCGGATGTTGATTTTGAGGTCATGGGCCATGAGGAGGGTTCGAACGAAATCCAAGTCGACATCTTGAAGTTCTGGAAACCTATCATGTACGTTTAGTGATGAATACAGTACTTCAACCTTATTCATTAAATGTTCATGGCTGCGCTCGAGGCTCGCTACAGCATCTAGAGTCTCTTTGGTGGCCAAACCCTTCTCAACCACC